CCATTGATTGCTGCCTAGATTTTATAATTCCTCTGGTCCAGATTTGAAAACGTTTTGCTCGGATTCGAAGTCCAGGAATGAGGAGGAAGCTGCAATGAAATATAACCAGGGACAAGAACTTACGAGCTTGTGATCATAAATAAGAAGGCTTCACGACGGCTCTCGATGAATCGATAATCTTCCCCGATATCTCCTTCTCCTCCAATCGGCGCTCCTGCTGGCGCGGACCACTTCTTATTCAGTATGAATATGATTAGCTTGATTGAATCATTCGCAGGAAGAAGCGCCCCTCGGAATTCCAAGTAGAGAAATGTGGGATGCTCAGCTGATATCGCTCGTTTGCCCTGGGGCTTGGTTCATAAGCAAAGAAAGCAGGTGATTGGAGGAGGAGGAGGAGGAGAACAGGTGAAGAAAGGCATCTGAAATTTTAAGAGTTAGGGAATTACGAAAGTACTCCCTAGTACCTAACATACAATATGATACTTGTACCATATTTAAATTTAATGTATTTTTTCGTAATTTACCGTCAAAACTATAATTAAAAAATTGAATACAAAAATCTAAATGGGAAAGAAAGAACATATTGAACGAAAAGATCAAGGTCATGTTCTCTTCACCTGATTTGATTGGTTCTAATGTGATTGAAATAAGTTTTGAATATGATCTGAAAGTAGTTATATTTAAAGTTATTTTTAATCTGATCTAATTTGATCTGATTCTAATAAGAATAAATAATAAGTAAAAAAATAAGTTGAGGAGAAGATTGTCTTAACGAGTTGTGTTTTCTCATTACTCGTTACTTTTTAGGTTTAAAATTTTCTTCATCATTTTGAAAATTATTACTCCAATTTTAATGTCAATATTTTCGAGATTTTTGTAAATAAGCACAATAAAAAAATAAGGAGATCTCTAATGATGTTTAATTTTTTTATTTTATTCTAGCTGAATATTATGGTGTATTTAAAGTCCACATCAAATTATTAGAATTCTTTTCTAATTTCGTTTGCAATAGATGATTAAAATTTGATTTATACTAATCAAATATAAATAAAAAAAAATTAAAATTAATAAAAGTACAACAACAACAATATAGTTGAATCCAACAAGAATAGTGTCAAAAATAGAGAGATCATTTCCAAATAGACCCCTATTCAATGTCCGGAGTAGACCCTACTCGAAAATACAAAAGTTATTTCCAAATAAGGTCCTGATTAGGTGTTGAAAATTGTGTTGATTTATTAGCTGCTACTTTATTAATTAAAGAAGTACAAATAATTTATCGGTGAGGTTCTAGTGACAACGGTTTTTGGTGACACTAGCAGTGCCACTATCATTTTTGGCTACTTCCGGTGCTCTATTCGTAAAATTGACAGTCCCTACCCTTCCTAACTCACCCCTTAAACCCCCCACTCTACCCCCCCCCCCCGGTGCACCCCAACCCCGTCGTAAGCCCCCACAAAATGTGTGTCTATTTTGCAGCATAATAGCCACACATTTTGTGGGGGCTTACAGCGGGGTTGGGGTGGGGGTGCACGAGCGGGGGTAGGATGGGGAGTTTTGGGAGTGAGTTAGCGGGATTGGAACCGTCAATTTTACGAACAAGCCACCAGAAGTACTCCAAAATGACAGTGACACCAGAATGTCACCGTACTCTGTGTTACTAGAACCCCACCTATAATCTAAAGATATGTTTTATTTTATTCTAAGACGATGAAGTAAAAAATTTGTAGTAGTTTTTATTGTTTACACTTTCATTGCCTCTCAGAGCAACTCCAACGCATGAGTTATATGCTAAAATATTCAACTTATACATGATTTTGTAGTCTTTTTCTTACTTCAATGGGTCATTTATAATTTAGCATGGCTAAAGCTAAAATGTGTTCTGTAAGAACAACTCCAACACACACTTTAAAAAATGGTCATCTAAATGTTAAAGTAGATGATTCACAGTGTTATAGAAGTTGATTTTTATTTTCACACTCCAACCGCATCATGCTTATTTCTATTTTTTATTGTATGTTTTACTTTTCATTTTCTCTCTCCTCACGCATATCCATTCATTTGATTGCAGTTGGGGCCATCACACTTATTCACCAATTATATCTCATTATTTTATAATATTTTAATAATAGAAGACCAACGGTGAACTTATATTGATAAAAGGTGGAGCCTGACAAATAACTTGCCCTCCAAATTATGGAGTACCCGTTGGAGCACATAAAAGGCTTCAAAAAGCTACAGTGTCAGCTATTAAATGTTTTTTAACTGTTTTAAATGATGCATGGGAAATGCCCTAATGCCTTTTTTCTCTCTGTGTATTGTTAAGAAAAATAATATAATATTTTAATCACATTATTTGCATAAATATAAATATAATGCGGAAATATAAATAAAGTGTTTGTATAAAAAAATTAATTATAAATAAAAAAATTGTTAAAGTGTAAAAAATGGATGACATGGTCGGAGAAGGGGTAAAAAAGTGGGTTGTTAAAAGTTAAAACATTGTTGGGAAGCTAAAATAGCTTTTAGCTTTTCAAATAAAAGCTTCTCCCAGATTGGAGATGCTCTTAGAAAATTACGTTCAGAGAGACGGCGAGAGCTTACACTTTGACACAGGTAGAGAGCATATTCGAAAAGAAGAAGAGGTCGCAGCAGATCGTGGGAAATAGGTTCAGCGCGAAGAGGGCAGAGCAGAGGCGACAACCACGGATCTACGAGGGTAAATTGCTAAAACTTCATTTTCGAACTAGAATATCTGATTTGTCGCAGCATCGGATTGTTGTCTCTCTAAAGTTGGTTCATGCGTGGCGTATTTCTGTTCGATTTTGGACCAAAAAAAAATTGAAGCTGTGATGTTGTTTTACCCTAAATTTCTTGGATATTTGATCTCAATCTGGTGAATTGTGTTCACACATGGTCTAAACCAGTTCTGGCTGTTGAACGTAGCTCTCTTGGCGAAATTGGGAATACAGAGCCTTTAATTTACTCCCACATACTGAGTGTTATGTTGGACATTGGCATAGGAAACTAGGAAAGTATCCCGTAGTTTTTAAAATAATTTAAAGGCCACTAGTGGTTCATCCAAGAGTAATTTTGTTTGGGGAAATGTCTATATGAATGACTATTTTCTATGTTTTTATGGCTTCTTCTCTTGTTTCTGTCTGCAGTTTGATACTCCACTTGGGCAAAGTGATCGGATTATCAAAGATGATAGTCTGTGTTGCGGTTGTGGGGCACCAGGTAAATATGCCGTCTCTTTAGAGATTTGTTTCCTCTGATATTTTCTTACGGAACTTAAGTTGTTCATCTATTTATTCTGCTCATGGTCTTTCCCTGCGGGCAGAACAATCCACTGTATATACAAAGTTTCACGGAAGCTGATGACGCCCTAAAGCTTCATCACATAGTTCACTGCTCTCTTGACGTTGTTGACGAAAGAGGTTCTTTTTATTAGGCTATAATTTCATTATCTACAGACATGCACCAATCAGTTATTCTGCCCTTCCCTAGTTCCCTATCTTTGTAATGTGGCAATTTAGTGGAGTTAGTTGTAAATTTTGTTTGGTAGTTTAAATGAAATCAGACTAATGCGCATGCTTAATCTAGAGTTGGTTGCTTAATTGATCAATTCAACGTACTGAAAAGTAATAGGGAATTACAAACAGAATGATTTTATTATAAATTATTTGGTATGCTTAGGATATCATTTGTCATGCTCCACAATCTTTTATCATTGGTTGATGATGGGTGCAGCATTTCTTCAAATGCAGTGAATAATCCCAAAAAAACTGGTCCTACATTGAATGAGACATTTCTTGGTCTGCTTTACCCAACGGAGAATTATAAAGTGTGAGTATACAGGTTTGCCTTGTTATGTCTTCCAATTTGCAAGGGTTGTCAAGAAGTTCAGTTTGTTCTCTTTTTCTTCTTTATATCTTCCATATTATTTTAATTGGAAGAGACACTGGTGGATTATAATAACCACACCCGGTCTATAAGTCTGCTCTCAAGTGCACTATTTGTCATGATTTATTCAGTTGGCTAGCATCATGATTTATTCAGGTATGGTTATTTGACAAACACTAAGGTGAAGTTCATATTAGTGACAACAGATCTCGATGTCCGTGATGCTGATGTAAGAAATGTAAGTCACATTTCTCACTGAGCTTTCCTTTTATAGTCTGTATGTCTCTACTGTGACTACTGAAATGGTTTAATGGTTCCATTGCAAGAAAGAGTGAAATGTTATTCATCTTCTCTCTGAATGCTTGAGAAAAAAAATTCTTTTCTGGGCATGCATATATATGCTTTTGCAGAGAATGTATGAAATGTTAGCTCTAGTGCATTATGTGACTGCAAATGTACTAATAACCCTTTCAGATTGTGGCTTGCTTTATTGCTCCCTTCCTTCAACCTCATTCCTTGTTGTATCTTTAGAACAATGCAAGGTTACTTACTCTATTTTAGGGGTGCAGTTTTTCAGGAGATTTCATGCTGCATATGTTGATGCTGTTTCAAACCCATTTCATGTCCCTGGTAAGAAAATAACGTCCAGAATATTTGCAGAGAGCGTGAGCAATATTGTCAAATCATTTGGTTTGACATCTGCTTGATTAACAACACAAAGGATCCTTTGTGACAACTATGCAATTTCTGTTTGGTTTTGTGTTGGTGTTCCAATGTGTATCAGAGTTTGGCACCCTGGAGGGTTTATGCATCTTTCCGATTCTACTTCGTCTTTGACATTTATCTGTAGGCCCCGCCGCCTCCACCCCACCCCCAAATGTTCAATTTCAGTGTATGTTCATTTCAAGCATGTTTGTGTAGATTTCTTTAGAATTTCTACTATGTGAAATTGTTGATTATATGGATAAAAGATACTCAGAGTGATTTCAAAAATAGCATGCTTTACTTGGTTTCTCATTGCCACTATGTTTGGATCAAGGAATTAGGAAGGAAAAGATACTCAGAGTGATTTCAAACAGGTAAAATTGTTTTTTCATATCATTTTCTTTTCATTTCTCCAAAATCCTTGAACCAAACATAGTGTACATATCTCGCGAGAGTAAAATGAAGTGAGATTCATGGTGGAGTGATTGAGCATAGAAAGGTAAGATTTCCATGGGTTGCAAAAAGGACTCCTAATATTCAATCAATACATGGATATTGGATCATCACTTTACCTAATGAGGCGGTACAATACATGAATCAAATAACCCAGAGGAGCACCAAGCTGTGGCTCATAAAGAAATTTCTTTCAGAAATCTTCACCCTTCTCTCTATGCTTACAAGTTCCTTTTCTTGCAGTTGCCTTTCTCTTCGGGAATTGAAGAGCACGGACGGCTTCATTATGCATGTTAAGACAAAAATTGATTCTAGAATCAAAATCCATAAGAGGCTCACTTTTTTCCTTACATATCATGGTTCCATTAGCATGATCCAACATGGCATCAATGGCGCCATCTCTAACTGCTTTTGCTATGATGCTTTCGGCATTTTCAGAATCCAGCCTTAGCTTCTCTGCTACATCAGCCAATGAGATTCGAGAGTATGAGATACTTATATTGCGTAATGCTGTCCTAATGACACTATGCCGGAGCCTAACAATCACATTATTAGTCCTGTCGTTGCTGAAAGTGCTTGAGAACTTCTCAGCTACGGCTCTGAACAGCTCCAAATCCCCAACGCGAACAGCCTAAAATTGATCAACTGCATTTTAGCACCATAGAATGAGCTGACAGATGTAAAACCTACTCCTCATACTTACGTTTGTTAACTCAAAATATGGCCTTAGTGCTTTCTCCAGTCCCTTCTGCATAAAAACAGTTCTTTCAGGGATTTCTCCGAGCAATAAGTGAACCAGAACTGCCCACTTAATGCATTGAGCTCGAAACCCAAGCGCGGTGGACACTGGTGCCCTTTGAGCAGCTTGGAGGAAACACTCTTTAGCATCTGTGTACTCCAACTGGATGGTCCTTATCTTTCCAAGATAGAAAAGGTACCGACAAAACTGGACGACAAATAAAAACAATCAATGTTAAGTTTATATCACATGTAAAGTGATGGCATAATGAAAGATGTGGGAGATTTGCCTGTGGGTTGGACTGAGATTCAAAATGGGGTGCCTTTGACCTAAATTTCTCTGCTTGATCATATAGGTTGTAGTGAAGGTAATTCCTTAATAGCAGATTACAAAGGGTTTCCTTCATGATAATCCATTGCATTTTTTCATCAAGCTAATTAAGTACACCCAAAAAAAGTTGATAATAGGATCAAGAGTTGGGTTATGGAGTACACAAGACACACCTGGCCCAGCTTGTCGTTTCTCTGTGTTGCGATATGGTGCAAATTAAGGAGATTACTGTTTCAAAAAAATTACCATTTGAATAAAGATATTATTCGAAAGTAACGAATGGCTTACCAAACATCAAATGCGTGGTTATTCCAAATGTATGTATACCGTCGGATATGAGAAAGATGACCGGTGAGCTCATGGCTCAAAGAATAGTAGTGGTAGATCTTAGAAGCTAAAACGTCAATTGTCGTCTTGTTGAAGAGCTTCAGACGAGCAATGCTTGCTGAAGAACAATCTTTTGCCTGTAAAGAAAGAATGCAAATGGGAAATCGGAATCCATTGAGTAGTATTGTTGGATTTGTATTAGATCGTATCGTACCTCATTATACTTTCCTTGATCTATCAGATGTATAAGCAGAAGCAAGTAGCAATAAATCTCAAGCTCTGGCAACAAAAGTTGTTGCTTTGCAGCATCAACTTGTATGATTTCATCGTCCCCCTATCATCATCCATCACGCATTTTAAGCCCTCATTACTACGGTGTGGAACAAAAATTTATAATTCATTGTTGCAGAGATCGAAGAAGATGAAGAAGAAAAGACACAACGAAAATATAAGATTGATCGATTAAGTATCGTACTTACATTCAGTTGATAGCTTCCGGCAGATACATAGTTGAGGAAAGAAGACAGCACAGAAGCATTAATAAGCTTCCTCCTTAATCCCATGGTTAACCTCACTGCCTTTGCAATCTTCCTCACCTCTCCTGCATTTCCTCCCTCCTCCACAAGACATGCAATCTCTTTCAAACCTAATATTTCCTCAAGTATGCATTACATTAAACCCAAAAAGTAGATTTACCGCTAATTGATACGTAGTAGAATTTAGGATACGATTTGGGGTCATTGAACTAGACTATAAGACACTTAATGGGATGGCGCGAAGGATTCATAGAAAGAGAAACTCACGCTCTAAAACATTGGGATCAGTGGAGGACGACACCGAATTGGAAGGAGAAGCTGCAAGTTGCTCCTCCTCCTCCTCCCCCTCTTCCGTCGAAGTCGTCTTTTTTTGCAATGGGGTCTGCAATATAACCAGNGATAAAATACACATAAAAGGGTGATGAAAGCCATAGAACCTATTCAGTCGCAGACAAACTATCTACAGGGGGTGGGGTGGGTCGGACAAGTATATATACTTGCTACAATTACAGGCTACTTGTGTTTCATTCATTTAAAAGGAGATCCATTCAAACAAAAACATGGAAAAAAGATTGATTATTTCCTTCGTGTGCAAGCAATCGAATCTTTTTCCCCTGATAAGTGCTATAGGAGTAGCATATTTTGACTAGGAAAAAAAAAAGAAATGTTAATTAACTAATTTAAAACATTTCATTATTCGAAATGATACGTGAAAAGTAATTACAAAACAAATTTCTGAACAGAACAGAATAATCATCTCCTCAAAATGCAAAACAAAAAAATAGTGCTGCTCATAGACTATCTTGCAGAACTGCCACTATCTTCTTTCTTGTTTGTATCTATTAGTAAGTCCTCCGCTTGCGACATTCTCTTTTCCGGGAGCATTCTCAGGTTTTGGAAGATGAAAGCTACCATATCCTGATGGTGGAGATCTGCGTGAATCTGTGAACCCACTAAATTGGGGTGGCGGCGGTGGCTCCCTTCTGTTACTATTCCTTTCTTCTCCCCCGCCAGGAGGTGCCGCTCGCCACGATGCTGCTGGCGTGCTCCCTCTTTTGTACCGATTTTCTATTGTGGGTGGTGAAGACGCAGACGACCCTGGTGGCGGTGTGGTCTCTCTTCTGTACCTATTTTCTACTGGCGGCGACGGTGGTGATTCTCGTCTGTACCTATTTTCTTTCTCCACTGGAGCCTGGGATGAAACCGAATCAGATCCGCTTGATGGCTGTCTTATGACACTTCTGCCCTCGGCAGAAACCGACTGCTCTCCTTCCCCGCTCATATCTTCGCCGTCGTCAAAAAGTGAAGAAGATGATGTATCGTCAACCTTAGAGACGGTTTTCTTTTGTGAACCCTTCTTCAATGGACCAAACTTGGCATGCCTGACCACAATGTATGCCTGTTTCTTTTCCACGTGGGGTCCACTTTCAATCAATGCAACATCCCCTATCTGTAGCAAAAGCACCACTTTAGAAAGAATGAAGGCACATGAAGCCATAATGGAAGAAACTAAGAAAATAGGAGGAGATTTTTGAAGGAATTAATTGTACAGGAGATTAATTCGTTGGTTCAAACAATTGTTTAAAAAAAAAGTATTTAGAGAACGAAATCTAAACAAAAAACCCAGTTCCATCCCACAAAACACAAGAAAATAACTTCCATTAGTATTTTCTCTCTTCTCCTATCATTTTCCGGGATCCAAACATATGCTAAATCAACTACTCCATATAATACTATAATCTTACCAGGGAAGAGAGACGTGACAGCGCCTCTCCTAGATTTTCGACCTCAGAACCATTGCTTACTGCCATACACTGCTTGACAACAACAGAAAATAGATAAAAGGTCTATTAGTTTGTGTGTTAAAATTTTTTCCCCCTTCAATCCATGTCTACAACAGTATGTGGTGGTGGGTAAGACTGGTCACTGGGAGACCTTGGCAATTTAAATGTGTCGAAAGTTCATCCCTGGCATATAAGGGAATAGCTTTGGCTAAGTTGGCAATCAGATTACATCCATGAAAGCTCCCATGGGGTCATTTGTCGAGGAACATCACAAAATAAAATTGAAACCGTGCATGTGGCTGATAATTGAGTACCTTAACCCGATAACCTTTGTCCATCATTCTCTTGATTGTGTCTGCTTTAGTCTTCAAATCCTTTTTCTCCTGGATAAAACAATATGAAGGGATATGATCAATCAATTAAAAATATTACAATCATTATGCATTCAAAAATGCCCTCTGTTTTACTCTCACGAGTGCAATTCACTTCATTCAATGTGCTTATTTTCATTTGAGTGTATGTTGGTTTGGTATATCCTATAAGACAGATGCACAACTAATATAGAAGTTTTAACTTTTAAGCAAAAATATAACAGCTCTAGTGACAAAAAACTGGACAAATGATTTAACAAGATCCCTATAAATTATGTTTAGTTCCAATGTTGCTTATCAGAATGCTATGAATTAATGTTAAGAAATTGGAAACCAAACAATAAAACATTCTGGGAATCATTACGAGTGATTATAGTCAAATACTCCCTCGGTCCTAGAATAAGGCTCCACATTTGACCCGACACAATTATTAAGAGAGGTGGAATTATGTAGTTGGAATTTGTTGAGATAATTTGAACCACAATACCACACAATTATTTTCTTAAAAGAAAAGTGGAACCTTATACTAATAGGGATATGTGGAACCTTTTTACAGGATAGATAGTAGTAAATTATCAGCCCTCAATGAGTAAAAATGTAGTGCAGAATTTCTTAAAGAAGTGTAAAAAGAAACTTACAATTTTACATAGAAATCTGACTTCCTTGCTACCACCTTTCTTTAAAGTTGAATCAGACTGCAAAATATATAAAAACTAATCATCTAAGTAGTAAGTACAAAAAGATTCTCTCCAATGAAGAGGAACAACAATATAAGTCAAAATCTTAATTACAAACTAATGAGGTTGGCTGCATTAACCAATACAAAAACTCCAGGGAGAATCCATATTATCGCAAGGAAATTCTATAGCAAACGGATCATGTAAATTCACAGTCTTACGAGCTTGGTATACTGCTCAATTGTTAACTAGTCTTAGGCCAATACCATCCATTTTCTCTATAAAAGAGAACAATGTAATTCTCGGGTGTTCTGTTCAAAAATGTATTTGATGTCTAAGAACGTGCAGAATAATCAAATCCTAAGGACACCTGAAGTCAGTCATGAAAAGCACTCAGGTGAAGAGGCAACCTTCATTGCTTGAACTTGTCAAGGCTATGCGAGATCCAAAACACAAGACAAGGCACTTGTTTTTGTTGCCTTGATTTGGGGCTAGAGGAGAAAACCTCTGTCTTGAGAGTGTTTTCTGCCGTGTTTAGTTTTACAAAAGAGGGCTGCATTAGGCAGACTTTTATTAGAGGTGGGCTGACTTAGATAAACTGATAAACAATGGACTGACTTAAATAAAATATGATCTGACATTTTTACTATGAAGTACTAAAAAGGGTTAAAACCATATCGACTAAGTGTAGACATCCTGTACTGTGGTAAAAAAGAACTACAGGACTTGCCTTCTTCTTGGCTTGCTCTTTCTCCCTTGCTTGTTTAAGATAATTTTCCTTATGATAGTCCATAAGCTTGCAGACGGGTGGATTAGCTCTTCGATCGACCTACAGAATCACAATAACTGGTTTAATGGAGAGAATGTAAAGACATGTCTCTAACATCCATGAATTTGTCTGGATTTCTCTCTACTGCAGGCATGCAATAAATAAATAAAAAGAGTTCAAATCCTGTCTATCATAACAGGATTGCAGCGTGATGTTTTAGGGGAGTATTTTACCTCAACTAGATCTAGATTAAGACTCTTAGCACGATCCAGAGCCTCAAACCTCGATACTACAGCATGACCTGCATATCTTCTTACATTAAACCCCCAAATTAACAGTGCGCAAAAACTAAAATGTTTTTATCAGGCCATTAAACATTTTGAAATATATAGACTTCTTCATTTTTTTCCCAGAGTCACTTTGTCATTCACTAGTAGCTTTGCTGAGCAGCAATAACTTCAATGTTAAGAAACAACTTCTTGAGCTAGTGATCACAAGTTAGTACTCTGTATAAGAGTAATATTCCATGTTTACATGGTGATCGTGTGGTCTCTGACCATTTGAAAACACTGTAAGAAAGTAAGAAGGGAAATTTTATTTCAATTCAGAGGGTTTTTGGGATTGATTCTGCTTTTGGGAAACTCTTTATTTTAAATACGGAATCCAAAAGAATCTCATATGTGGTTCTCCCTTCTGCTTTTCTGTCAAAAGCTGAAATGAAATAACAAAATCACTACCAAACATTACCAACCTGCTTCTATCCAACACAAAAGCTGAGAATCGCTAACCAAAAGCACTACCAAACACTCTCTTAGTCTATATTATTTAGCGAAAAGCTAAAATATTGTCACAATGACTCTTTTAGCTCCATTGGATGTAGCCCTAATAAATTATAAATAGAGATATTTTAGGCGTATACTAAACTACTTTTGAAGCATATATCAAGCCCAGCATTCCCTAATCACTAGAAATAAAAAAAAAAATACAGCACTCTCTAATCTGAAATTCAAGTCACATGGTCTGACCTTCATCAGAAACCAGACGAACAAAAGGTGCAGTCACCTTCTCATTCAATCTAAATCCGTCTGTGTCCTTCTCTTCCTTCTTCTGACTAACCTACAAGTGCAAAAACGCCCTTTAAAATCACGTATCTTTAGTGAGAGCTAGCATACGATGGACCTGAATATGAAGGAAGAAATTGCCTGCACTGGTGCAGCGAAGAACCTGAGACTGTTCAGAAACTCCCCTCGATGCGTCTGGATGGGTTTCAGATGCCGAAGTGTGGTATGTGATACGGCACCACAAGGGTGAAGTTTACTCGGATTAGGTGTTTGATGATAGCATCTTTTTAGTCCGTTTGACAATACCCTGATCTGAGATTCCTTGACGCGAATCCAAAACGCCATCGTCCCCTCTCTATCCCCCTCAGTTTCTGTGTTTAGACGTGATCCGTGTCCGGTAAACCCTAAGATTTTCGAGTCACTTCTCCGTCGGCAAAAAGAGGGCTGGAGGTAGAACGACAATGGCTATGTGCTTCTCGTTCGTGCTCGAATGATAGTGTGGGGAGGCTTGGTGTTAACTTGCTGTATCCGGGCTATGCCCCGTTGTCTTTGCCGGACGGATTCGCTTCAAACGCTAAAATCACAGTGCTCCGATGTGTTTTTTTAGACTGGCCGGACTGGGAATGACGTCTGGGATGGACTGTGTTTATTGATCCCGTAGGTATGGTTTTATTTTTGACTAATTGAACAAATACTCCCTCCGTCCTAAAATTAATTTCTCATTTTGACTTTTGCAGTCAAAGTTTTTACGAAAAAAATATATTGAATTTTCATATAAATTTAGTATCAATATATTCATTTTGAAACATAGTTTTGAAATATATTATTTTGATAATATATATTCATATAAAAATGGATATATTAATGGTCAAAGTGCCGCATTGGAGACCGTGAAAAGTCAAATGAGAAGTTAATTTTAGGACGGAGGGAGTAAAAGTTTATCTTTTAGCTGATTTTTCAATTTTAAATTATAATGTGGATAAGTAAGATGTGATAAGTAAATTATTGTTAAAGTGTGTGATAGATGGTGGTGTGATATGCAAGTCGATGTGGAACTTTGTGTGCACATAGTATTTTTGTATGCGTAGTAAAAAATGGCATGAAATATCATGAATTATTCAAAAAATATTTCTACCATCGTGGACATCAATAAATGAAAAACTCGTATTTAAAACTTACTTGTATTTGATACTTCCTCCATTCGCAAATGTTTTTCTCACTTTCTTTTTAGGTCCATCCGAAAATATTCTTCTCATTTCTTCTTTTAGCCTACTTTTTGAAGATAAATTTTAACAATACCCATTCATTTTACCATCAATATGCTTTTTTATTATTTTTAATAAGAAAAGAAGATTTAAAAAATTAAAGTAGGCATACTCTTGGAATTTTGACACTTTTTTTACTATTCTTTAATAACCATGTCAAGTCAACACGGAAAGGACATTCTCGGACGGAGCGGGTATTTTGCACGCACTCATTAAACATAAGATATTCTGAAAGTTTGACCACACTAAATGAGAGAATATTAACATTGTTTGGCGAATAAAAGTTTAAGCACTATTTGTCTTTGAATTTTCTGAAACCTCTAATTACTTGCTAATTCTATATTGTGATCGATAAACATTATTTACTCTTTAGAAAGTGAATAAAAATAACTAAGGTGCTATTCTATTTTGATTTAGTGTCATTTTTGCTAACTCCTTAGCAACATAATTCTCCTCTCTCTCATGGCATAGATGATTCGCACACCTTGTTCATGCAAATCTGCAATGAGCGAAATATTTAAATTTAAAGATTTTTTTTCAACTTTAGAGTTATTTACATTAATGATATATTTGGCGAGTGAAAGCGATACGAGTTTAAACATTTATGATATTGAATTTCAAAAAATTTATGTCCGGAGAAAAAACATCAAATTTTAAACTTAGAGATATACAAATTCTTTTTATACATAAAGTTTAAACAATTGTGTTCATTATTAACGGTCTCACATTTTCTCGTTCACTCGATGCACATGCCGTTCGCATCGGGAACTTGTTTTGTTATGTCATTCTTATTTTATTTTGTTTTCTTAAAGTCGTTTGAATGCAACGATGAAGATTATTGCTTTCCTTATCGTTCTTCTAAATGAGAATGTTAGAAATTTATGCGAAATACTTCGTAGTAAATAAAAGAATAAAATAACGTGTAGAAAGAAAAGTGTGAAGAAAACACAAGGTTTATATCTACTTCACCACAACTTAGCGTGTCGCTAGCCCAGTTATAATCGAGATACTCTCTCCAGATCCCCTAACTCGGTAGGCTCACAGGTTACCTAACAAACCGCTACAACCACTTGTAGATGTACTCTTTATAGTATTTCACTCCATTCAGACTCGTCATTTCATATTGAATCAAATTGACTATTGACAATTAATCCGTTTTGTTTGTGTTCACGGTGGTTTTGAAAGGATGTGTGATACTTTTCTGAAGATTCCTTTTATGATTCTATTTAGAACTCAATAATAAAAAATTTAAAAAATTACATACTCCGTATATTTTTTGCATCACAAACATTGGTCATGTTTTGGTCTACCGTGCTTGATTGAGCTTAAATTTTAAATTGTATTTATTTAAAAATTACTATGTGCTGCATATATATAAAAAACTTTACTTCATATTAAACAAGAAGTGACACGACTTTATCATTCTAATAAATAATTAAGACAAAAATGTACTTCAACAATAAAAATAATACTCTATATGATTTAAATATAGGAACATTAAACAGGAGTACGAGACCAAAGGAGAACAAAAATGTTAAAATCAAAACAAAAAATTACAAATTCACAAATTCTCTATTTATAAATCTCACCAAAAGAATTAAATGGTTTCAAATTATTAAAAAAACATATTTTGAATCCACAAATTACAATTGTATTTATTTGATGATTTTCTTTTTTGCTATTGCTCGAGTATTGCTCAAAGGAGAATCTCAAGCATTTAAATTAGCTCTGTTTTTTGTGCTGGTTTTAAAAACAAGCTCTCGAATAAATGTAAGGAGTAGAGTAAATTTAAAAAATTTGGTCAAACGAAACGGAACAAGTTGGCGGCCCAATGCCCAAGTTTGTCCCCACAAAATTCACGTCTCTGCGCAAAGTACCAGAAAGGCCCTCCATTAGATTTTGGCAATAGATTCTGGCAAAGAAAATTTGCATTCACAAAGACAGTGAGGAAAAAGCTCAGCTATACACTGTACACTACACTAGTACTAGTTATAGTTTGTGTTCTTTTTTTTTTTTCTTTTCACTGAGCACCACCACCATCTCCTCCTCCTCCTCCTCCTTCACCCCCACCAGCCTTTCTACACCATTTTTTTCTGCTGAAAAGTAAAAATCAAAAGAGGGAAAAAGAAGAAAAGAATTGTACGAGTTATACTCTGAGTTGACCACATGCGGATTGGCTTGCAGAAGCAAATCTTGTTTCATTTGCTCTTCTTCCCTTTTCTAGCTAGATAGGTCATGCTTTTTTCATTTTTCACCAGAAAACCTGCCTACCCTTCTTCCCCAAAAACTACCTTTAAATGGTATAGTTCATATTTTTCACCTTTGCTTAATTTGTTTGAGTCCCCAAGATTAAGAAGACAAAAAAGTTCCTTTCTTTTTTAATTGAAGTGAGAAAAGATTACTTCTGCGAAATTCCCAAGATTTCTTCAGAGAGATGGGGTGTGTGGCTTCCAAGGTAAAGCAGGAGGAGGAAGGAGAAGGAGTGGTGTCCATATGCAGAGAAAGAAAGAAGCAATTGAAGCTTACTGTGGAGAGAAGGTATAGCCTTGCAGATACACACCATAGATACTGTCAAGCCCTGAATGGAGTCTCCGCAGCCATCAAGCTCTTTGTGGCTCGCCATTTTTCACCTTCTTCCCCATATCTCATCACCTTCCCACCCCCTCCGGGGGGTTCATCTTCAAATTCAACTTCATCTTCAACCCCACTTTTTCTTCAGCAAAAACCCTCTCAACAGGCGACCACCACCCCCACCCCCAAAGAAACCCCTTGCTGTGTTGATTCTTCCGGGGAAGAAGAAGAAGAGGGAGAGGAGGAGAGAGAGGAGATACGCCACGTGGAGAAGAAGGAAGAAAGGGCGGCGTCTGTGTGTGAGTATTTTTACATGGAAATGCCTCGAGAGGAGGAGGTTTTGCAGCATTCGGCCCCACCCGCTGGTGGGTATGGCGGTTGGGATTTCTTTAGCCCTTTCAATGTGTACAACCACCAGATCTCAGAGGAGGATTTGAAGGCGGTGAGGGAGAGAGAAGGGATTCCGGAGCTGGAGAAAGAAGAGGAGTGTGGTGGAATGATGGAAGAGGAGAGAGCAGAAAATGAAGAGGAGGTGGAGTTGAAGAAGATGGAGAATGGGGGCGAGGAGGTAAAGGGAGGGGAGAGCAGAAAAGTAGTAGCAGATATGGAGGGAAAGGAGGGGCTTCATAGTGAGGGGATGACAGAAGCATTAGCTGAAATGGAGAGAGGATTGGAGGAGGAGGGAGGGAGAGAGTTGCTTGAAGCATTGAAGGACATTGAGGATCATTTCTCAAAAGCTTATGATTCTGGCAAGGAAGTCTCCAGGATGTTGGAGTCCAATTGGGTTTACACCCAACCAAATTTGGAGGATTTGAGAGGTATTGAAGTTGTTATTTTATATCAGATGAGCTTGCTTTCTTACTTTCTCCCACCCAACCCCCCCAAAAATAAAAAGAATTGCAGTCTTGATATTCATTTTGCTTGCTTTTAGTTAGTTAGTTTAAGGTGGGAAATATGCAATGATTATTATGGAACATTCAATGCAACTTTATTTAAACCAAAAAAAAGAGGAAAAAAAACCCCACAAAAATGCTTAAAGCAGCAGCATCTCATCATCATCATTCATGATGGTAATATTTTCAATAGGACACATCACAACAAAACTGATAACTCTCACATGGAAGCCCACCCCCTCGGCTCATTCTTCATTGTCGTCGTCTTCTAAGAATAGTCTTGTGGCATCTACTTCAAGAAGCTCTTCAACATGGATGTCAGACTTCTCAAATGATCTCTTGGGTGATTTTGGGGAATCCGGAAGCCTTTTACTGACACTCGGAAGGCTCTATGCTTGGGAAAAGAAGCTATACGAAGAGGTCAAGGTAAATGGCTTACTAGAGCTTCCTCTTTAATTTACAGTACTTCTCTTTCTTTTCTTGATGATTGGCTTTTATTAGTAGTTTTGTATTGATCGCCTTGTGGTAGTAGGATGGGGATAGCACTTGGAAATTGTATGAGAAAAGATGCAAGAAACTCAAAAGAACCCAAGATGCCACCAGAATAGATGCCGAAGAAGGAAAGAAAGGAGCAGCAACATTAAAAGAATTGCACAGCAGGATCATAGTAGCGATTCGGAGTGCAGAAACAATTTCAAAAAGAATTGAACAGCTCAGAGATGAGGAGCTACAGCCTCAAGTCATTCAACTTCTTCAAGGGTAACATGTCCCATTCATTTTTCTTCAGATTCATTGGGAAATGGTCTGTCTTTTACTATGTAATAAAGTTGAATATGTGTATCTCACTCATTGGTTGGTTGGTGGCAGCATGATGAGAGGTTGGAAAATGATGTTGGAATCCCATGAGCTTCAGAACAAAATCATGTCCCAAGTGTCAACTTTTAACTGCCCTGCTTATGGGAAATTCTGCAACGATTCTCATCGTCTTGCAACCCTCCAGCTTGAGGTTGAGCTTCAGAATTGGCGTTCATGCTTCACTGCATACATTGCAGCCCAGAAAGCATATGTTCAATCTCTCCATGCTTGGCTGTCTAAGTTTGTTGTCGTCGACTTCTATTCCAATGCCGGGCCCCCACTTCTCAATGTTTGCCGTGATTGGTTGTCTGCCATGAACAATTTGCCTGAAAAATCAGTTTCTTGTGCGTTAAAATCTTGTGCAAAAGATATAAGGGCTCTGTGGGTCCAGCAGGGAGTGGAACAGCAACACAAGCGAAAGGTCGACAGCCTGTCAAAGGAACTGGAGAGGAAGACATTGGCATTCCAGAGGGCTGAGGAGAGAGTTTTTGAATTTAAGAAGTTTGCTGATAGCAGAAATGCAGAATTGGAGATGGAGCATAGGGCGGAGGTTTTGAGGGAGCAGAAAGATTTGTTGGATGATTTCAGTAGGAGGGTTGGTTTGGAAAGGGAAGAACACCGGAAAAGCATGCAAGAAACACAGAGGATCACATTGAGAGGGTTTCAGTCTGGGTTTGGCAGTGTGTTCGAGTCCATGGCTGAGTTTTCCAGAGCAGCTTTAAAAATGTACAATGAAGTTTTAAGTGCTTGGGAAAATTCTCAAAAAAATTCCCAAGTTGATGAAGATGTTAAAAGATGACACTTTTATGGTGGTGTTGAGGTTTAGGAGTTGTGTACATCACTTAATTTATGTCCTTTTCTTTCTTCCCTTTTTTTGTGAGGATTGAATGATCTGTTTTTTGATCAACATTAGCAACAAAAAGAAGGTTTTTGACATTTGCAGTAGTAGACCCAACAGAGCTGTACATTTAATTAAGCAAGCACACAATTATTCCATTTCTACAATAGGTGGCAAATGACACGTACTAGTACAAATGAAGCAGATGACTTGTGTATTTCCAATGACCCATTGTTATCTATTTATCTTAGATACAAAGAGACCAAAAATTGAGAAAAAATAATGAATTCAGCCACAAGAGTTGCAGAACTGTGTATGCCAAGAAATGGGACAATATCAACATTACACCAACTCTCAACAGCAGAACCAACCACTGCCCCTGCCACCAACCCACCGATTGTTACAAGACTTGCCTTCCCTGCAACGACACCGCACACCCATTAGGTTCATTGCATTCGTTTTAATACATTGCTGTAATTTATTTAAGAAATACGTTTTCATCCAATTGCACCACGGCTAGTGGCTCTCAGCAGATTGTGCTGCCACTTCAACCATCTTAGAGCTTATCAAACAGGCTCTAATCTTTTGATATTTTAGACATCTCATGCAGGAAAAGAGATCATTACACTTATTTCCTCTTCTAACATAACAAAGTAACCAAACCACTCGCTTTTTTAGGGGGGTGGAGAGAGAGGGAGAGACAAAGAGAGTTACCCAAGTTAACATTTTTCTTGGTGATGAAGTACAAGGTTGCTCCAAAACTGGTGGCCAAAACCAGGCCAGGGAGATCTGCTCCTCCTGCATAAGCAGCTTCAGGAAAGGCTGGGCCTCCATTTGCGTATACTAAGACCGCTAGGGCTCCATACACCCCGGCTTGGACAGCCAGCTCACCAGTAGATGGTGTTTGGAATGAAACGGGCGAGTCCCTGACTGCCTTCTGCAACCAATTAGGAATTGAGCCCATTCTACGAGCATTTACAGGTTTCTTAACATCTGCATAACGGATAGATTTGTCAGCAACTTTCCCAGCTCTCCTCTGTGACAAGCTCTGCATCAGCAGCATATCATATGCAGCTTCCACCTATTAACCCCACTATCACGTTACTTCAAAGATAGAATGCCGATGGATAGATAAATATATGCAGCAATACAGAAGTTGAATTATTCATCAAAGCAGAACCGTAGCCGTTTATAAAAGGTATTGTGATGTATTTGGGTACATGATCCTGCCATGTGTGGATTTTTTTTATCCCTTAAATTAGTTAAAAAACAACCATTTCCTACCCTTGACTTTAAATGAGATAGAAGTCATAGAACTAGTATAGAGAAAATGATGATAGCATATGCTAACATGTGATAGTGAATATTGATACTCAAGAAAACATGCATGTGGTGATAAAGAGGACTGCACTAGTCAGAATCATCAACCATGACTAAAAACTCAGTTCAGTTTGTCATTTTATGCAACTAATTTCCTTCTGGCCCAATTTCCATCAATATTCTGATTTCACACACTAACAGCTAACTTAAACGGTCTCTTTTCCAACACCACTGTAGTAAAACAGGCATATCAGATCCTTAATTAAGAACAAACCTTACCTTGTAGGCAGTTGTAGCTTCTCCCATAAAGTCCATAATTAATCCATTAAAGCGAAAACAGAATCCCAAATTTAACAGAAATCAAACAACACGGTAATTGAATTACCAAATGTGAACTAACTTTCCAACACACAATGCTCGAAAGCATGATAAGTAGAATCCCAAGAAAATTCCATAAATAATAGAACAAAATCAAACCTTTGTAATGGTTTCTGGGTCACCTTTACATGAAGAAACTATCGAACTCTTGGCACGAAGAATATCTTCGAAGGAGGCGCCGTCTGCAACTCCCAGCAGCTTCAGGGCGTTCTCCACGGACATCTCGAACGGAGCCGAGTCGTCTGCTCTCGATCCGGCTTGAACGGCCGTCTGCAAGGTTCGCCGGCGGGAGATGAACCCGACGCCGAGTTTCTTGATCCTGTTAGCAGAGTGAGCCGGGTTGGGTCGGCGGCAGAGTGACCTGCGTCGGGATGAACCGGGCGGTTGACCACCGATGATGGCGCGGTTTGGTCGTACCGAGAGAGTCGTGGCCATTTTTCTATTTCCTTGAAACGAAAGGCAAATTATTATAGTTCCAGTTCGAGAAGAGATGACGCGTCATTGCCGTAAAGTGATGCCAATCCATTTGGGCATGCCGGTTCCGGTCCGGTCCTGTCCAAAACTGTGTATTAGAGTGCGTTTGGCGAAGAAAATAAATTTCTACGTATCATTTTTTTTTATATTGGATGAACTCACAACTAATTTTAAATTTGATATCTTTAGATATGAAAAACTATAAGAAAAATATTAAAGTAGAATTAGAATATAGAAAATGTATCAATTCCATAATTTTTTTATCAAAAGAGGAAGTAGAATGTAAATGCAATCCAAATCATGTCAATATATTACCAACAAGTATAGTAAAATATTCATATGCAATATCACATTATCACGTTGTAAATTCCTAATTTGAGGATAAAAATATGAAATTATTATATTGACCCATTATTTATTTATTACTCTATTTAAGATGATTTCTTTAAAATCATTTAAATGGATGCTTTCATGCTCTTTTATTGGGAAGATATCAATATGAAAGTTATCTTCTTTAACTGTCAACCACCTTGTCACGCCACTCCGTACAAGTGTCACCGTCAATCATCTTATTGTTGGCCATATTTACATATCATTAATTAAATCATGATTTCAAATCTTTCTAAACAATTTCATTTAAGATTTCATAGTGCATGCTTGTCTTATTTTCACATATTTTATAACTCGTATCACATCATACATTATCAATTAATTTTGGTGTACACTAAAATTTGGACACGACTTGTACATATACACAAACAACAATTATCTGTGCATGCATAAAAATTATTGTCTGTATGTATTCGTAATGCACTTGATGTAGAAGTGATGTACAAATCTTGGTGTGCCCTAACACACCCTCCTACATTCATACCCCCAAAACCAAACAAATGGGCTCTCAGATATTCTTTTTTTCGTTTCAATGGAATCAATAATAGTATTGATGGAAGACGATCTCGGTCTGATTTCCAAACGGTTCTTGGTACATACTTTATTTGTCACTCTATACAAAGTATTATTTCTCTTTAATATGAAAAAAATACATTATGTTTTAATATAAATGTAATATCAATATTTTTTCTTTCAAAACATAATTTCGAAATATTAATTTTTTTTGTAAAGTATACATATGTATAAAAATCAATATCAATGATGAAAATGTTAGATTAGATATCGTGAAAAGTCAAATAAAATGATTAAATCAAGACATAGGTGCTAACATTTATTGATACCTTGATGGTGTAGCTAGGTTATTTATCAAAAGCAGTCTCTCTTTTTGGATCCAACTGAGTCATTGTATTTATTAATGGTTTAAATTATTTTAAACAATGTATTGTTATTAACTGAACCAAAATGATAAATTACTATAACAAGATATACCAAGACACGAACAAATAATTTTTTACCTGAAAACTTAATTGAGAGAAAACTACAAGCTTTTTTCGTAGAAACCTATTGCCACTAGGGACCTAACCCATTGCTTGGATGAGTAGAAAAAAGAGAGGCAAGAAGAGCGGGGATGAGAAAACACAATTGGCTAAGGCCATGTTCTCCTCAATATTTTTTATTTATTATTTATTTTTATTGGAATCAGATCACATCAAACAAGATCAAATCATATTGAAATAGCTTTAAATAACTACATTCAGATCAGATCAGAATCTATTATAATCAGATTAAAACTAATCAGATCATGTGAAGAAAACATGACCCAAGTTTTTTTCCATTTTTGGTTGAAAAAGAAAATGAAGAGACAAGAAGTAAAGGTAGTGAAGCGAAGTCAAAATATTTTCTTAGCTAGGATCGTGAGAAAACTAATTTTATTGAGAAATAAGCTTATTATTTTTATTCGTACTTATTTTTTCACTATTTTTTGATCATCCAAACAATTATTATTTATATTTCATTTTTCATCATTTATTTTCTTACGTATTTTTTTCTTTTCTTTTAATCCAAAAAAAGGGTAAAGTTGATCTGTCATTTATTTAACTTAAAATAACATCGTATTCTATACGGAGGCTACTGTTAAGCAGACGGAGTATTACGGGATATGCGTATATCCTACAGAGTACTCCGCAATATTTAGCAGCTGAAATACAGTTCTTATTATACCTTCTTGTTCGTCTTCACCGGGAAATTTGATTCAACAAAATCTGCGATTGCTCGAAGATGGCGGCTACATGGCAACCGGTAGAGGAAGGGTTCAAGGAGATCTGTGGATTGTTGGAGCAACAGATGTCGCCTACTTCCGACAAGTCTCAGATTTGGCAGCAGCTGCAGCATTACTCTCTGATCCCCGACTTCAATAATTACCTTGCTTTCATATTTGCCCGTGCCGAGGTTTCCAACTCTATCACTCTATCATCTCCGTCCCGAATTGCTTGCCACTCTACGGACTTCGGACTAGTTTTTTTTGTTTTTTTGCTCATTTCCACTCGTTAGAGTTCTGTGTTAGGCTTTACTAGGGTTTTGTGTTCTTGAAATTGCACCGATCACGTGGACTGAGTTATCGCTACAAGTTCTATTCATTAGAATGATGCAATTGATTCTTCTTTCATTTGAGTTTGTTTTCTCCGTGCTGTCTCTGGTAGCTTCACCAAATGCCGTCTATTCTTGTGGAGGATTACCTTAGAATTTAATTTATGGATAATGCATTGGTTAATAGAGCTTCTTACGGTAAAGCATTTAGTTTATAGGGCTTATTAGTAACTTCCAGTTGCCACCGATCGGATGCAGTTGTGCTCTAATAATATATCGTCTTAGTTAAATATCTGGAACTTTCAAACAATTAGAAATTTGTCTGATTGGCGTTTTGAAATCTTTACTGCAAGCACCTGTTGATGTAACATTACATTCACATGCAGTTCTGCACTAATTATATCTCTTCTGAAATTAAATGCCCTGTACTTGCAAATGATGACAATCATGTCTGTGTGGTGCTTTGGAATATTTAGTATACACATTTCCGGTGTAACTCTAGCTTCATTGGTGCTCATAACAGGGGAAGTCGGTGGATATTCGGCAAGCAGCTGGGTTGCTTTTGAAGAATAACCTTAGAGGTGTGTTTAAGACCATGCCACAGGGGAACCAGCAATATATAAAATCCGAGTTGTTACCTTGTCTAGGATCTTCTGATAGACACATTAGGTCTACAGCCGGGACCATCGTTAGTGCTATTGTTCAGCTTGATGGAGTGGGTAGTTGGCTGGAGTTAATGCACACTCTTGTAAAATACTTGGATAGCAATGATGCTAATCTAATGGAAGGCGCAATGGATGCTTTGTCTAAGGTGTTTATTTTCTATCTTTATCATGATCTATATGCATTCCCTGGCACATGTCTATTTTGCTTTTAATGAGCATGGAGTGGGGATGCGTTGTTAGTAAAACAGTTAGTTTTTTAGATACAAATTAACACACACACACACACACACTAGAAATGGGAACCTATCATTCTCACTAGTTCACTACATGTTATGATGCAGATATGTGAGGATGTTCCCCAATTCTTGGATTCTGATGTATCAGGATTGTCAGAGAGACCCGTTAATGTTTTCATACCAAGGTTTCTCCAGGTGACTTTTGCAATTATTCGTTCGACCATTTTCTCTCATAGTTGATGAGAATTTTCATTTGCATTGATGAATATTTGCAGTTTTGCGCACTCACTGGATATCTGATCTTTATGGAGCCTGTAAATGGCGCTAGCTAATATGTTGTTCTTTACTTGATGCACGTGTAAACAGCTTTTTCATTCACCACATGCTACTTTAAAGAAGCTTGCATTGGGTTGTGTCTATCAATTTGTTATGCTGATGCCTAAGGTGGTTTCCTTACTAAACCTCTTTAATAATCACCCCTTCTGCCCTCTCCTTTATGCATTGTAAATGACTTTGACTGGATCAACTTAATTTCTTACAGGTTCTTCATGTGAATATGGACAAGTATTTGCAAGGTTTGTTTCTTCTTGCGAATGATTCAGCTGCAGAAGTCCGGAAGTTGGTAAGAGAACTTATTGCCTCTTAATTCTCATGATTTTTCGAATATTACTTTCCTTTTTAGAATAATTATCTTCACAAACTTAATTACTCCCTCCATCCCAATATATTTGTCCAGTTTGACTTTTATATAAAAATACATTAGGGTTTTTATTTAATTGAAGTTCTAAGTTTGTCCAAATTGACTTTCAAATTGGACAAACAGGCTGGGGCGGAGGTAGTATTAGTTGTTACTATATCTCTTATTTTTCTCAAAATTGAAACATGTTTTAATATGGGTATGTCTTTTTATGTTTCTTGAAGATCATGTTTTATAGGCTTGTGAACCGCATGATCAGATTCATACTCTGCCTGATCAAGTTACCTGTGCGATGAACTGAGCATGATAGAGTTTTTTTAATGCATTAAGTTTATAGGCACATAATCCAAACATTAAACATACACTATTACAAGCTCAGATTCAATGATTTTGTGATTCTACTTTTTTTGTGATTCTACCCTTTTAACATTCTCATTCATTTCTTTGCAACAGGTATGTGCAGCTTTCGTCCAGTTAGTTGAAGTTCACCCAGCTTTCTTGCAGGTGAGGTTTCTTTGTTTCTCTAACTATGGCTCTGTGAGTGTGTAAGTTTATTTGATGTTTCTGTTTCAGAATGTATATAACAGAAAACTCCACTATCTGTTTTAATAAAGCTAATTTGATGACTGCATCGAATTCATGTCTTTCATTTGGTGCTGATATTTAATACTGTGTTGCAGACACACATGAGGAATCTTATTGAATATATTCTTAAAGTCAACGAGGACGGTGATGATGAAGTGGCTCTTGAAGCTTGTGAATTTTGGTAAACAGTACATAATTATCTATACACCTTGTTTATTGCTTTTGCTGATGTGGAACTAGCTGGACTTTATTACAGGGAATACCTTCTGGATATGCATGCAAATGCCTGTCAGTATTTTCCTATTGTTGTCTGAGTTTCAGTGTTATTTGTTTACAGGTCAGCATATGCTGATGCTCAGCTGCCTCCAGAAAATTTGAGGGAATATTTGCCACGTCTAATTCCTGTACCGCTCATGCCTCAGTTTTATAGTTTTTATATAATTGGTCAGTCACATATTTATATAAGAAGGAGATTGTTAGTTGTGATGTAGTCACTCCACTCTCTGTAGGTTTTGCTTTCTAACATGGTTTATGCGGATGACGATGAATCACTTGTGGAGGCCGATGTTAGTATAGTATTCATCCTTTTCTTTTTACTGATCTTTTGTGCATTGATGTGATGTACTTCATCATATTTTATTTACTGTGCTGCTAAATCACAGGAAGACGGTTCACTCCCAGACGAAGATAAGGTTTGATTTTCATCTTTTTTATTACTGTGATCAAGGATATGACTATATATTTCATTTGGAACCATTTCTCTTCAAATAACAAAATAATATGCAATGCAGGACATAAAACCTCGCTTTCATTCGTCAAGGTTCCATGGATCAGAAGATGCTGATGATGTGTGCATTTTTTTCTGGGATTCATTATGATCTTATTATGGTGACATTTAAGCCTATTAAAGAAATTGGTGATAATATTTTAATTTATGCTTGTAGGATGATGGCACCGTGAACGTATGGAATTTGAGGAAGTGCAGTGCAGCTGCTCTAGATGTTCTCTCAAATGTCTTCGGTGATGGGATTCTTTCTAGTCTGATGCCCATTGTTCAGGTTATATGTTTTTTCTGACTAACTATGGAGCTACCTTACTGACCCAACCTCTTAACATATTAAGCAAGCAGTATGTGCCTTTGTTCCTACAGACTAAACTATCTACTACAGATGATGCATCTTGGAAAGAAAGGGAAGCAGCTGTCTTAGCTCTTGGCGCTGTTGCTGAGGGCTGCATTAATGGACTTTATCCACATTTGTCTGAGGCAATTTTCTATGCCATCATAAGATATTAAATAAAGAGTATGTAACAATGAGTGCTTTCATGGCTAACAAAATGTCTGTAACTTTTTTCAGATCATTGGCTTTCTTATTATTCTTATAGATGACAAATTTCCATTGATACGAAGTATTTCTTGTTGGACGTTATCACGCTTTAGCAAATATGTTGTTCAGGTGAGGGATGCATAGGCAATTTTCTTATGCCAGTTATTAATTTTCAAACATTTTTCTTATAATATCGATGGCATTAGACTCTTGGTGATTGAAATATTTTTAGTATTCAAGTGGAATTTGCTTCTCTTTCTGTTTCAGAGTAATAATCATCAACAAGGGCACGAACAATTTAATAAAGTTCTTATGGGTCTTCTACGACGAATGCTGGATGATAACAAACGAGTGCAAGAAGCTGCTTGTTCTGCTTTTGCCACACTTGAAGAGGTTTCCATCAAGATAATTGTTCATAGCTTAATATCATTTATTTGTATATACATGTTCTTTGACTGTTTTGGTGTTATATAGGAGGCTGCTGAAGATTTGGTACCTTGCTTAGAGACTATTTTGCAGCACTTAATGTGTGCCTTTGGAAAGTATCAGGTTGTTTTTACACCATATGTTCACAACTCAATTATATTCTTCAAACTTTTCTTACTTCTGTTTTATGCAGAGACGGAATCTTCGAATTGTTTATGACGCCATTGGAACACTTGCAGAGGCTGTTGGAGGAGAATTGAATCAGGTTGAACACCTTTGTGTTTTTCTTGGTTCTTTAGTCTTTACTAACCTACTCACAGTTCCAGAGCATATATTCTCATCTCCATTATTTTTAGGTCAATTGTTATTATTTTCATCATCAGCAGCATCACTGCTCTTTCGATACTGGTGTTGGGTGTCAAAATATGATGCCACATCATTTAGGGGACTTTGGTGCTCCATTGGACCCGGAGCAGGGGAGTGGGTTCACGGTGGGTGGGAGTATTGGTTGCCAGGGGGAAGGGATTGGCTGACGCTGTTAGGTAACAGCCGGGGGGATCGATGTCAATTGTGGGGGCTGGGGGTTTGTGGGAGGGTTGGAGGGGGGTGGGGTTGAGGCCCAATGACGCAATGTAGTGTTCCAATGGCCTCAGTATTATGACATCCAAAACGGCAAAACCCAGTGTCAAAAGAACCACGATGTATTGTTCTTGTTGTTATTGTTGTTGTTATTATTATTGTTGTTGTTGTTGTTATTATTATTATTATAGCTACTGTTATTATTATGTGCAGCCAAGATACTTTGATATTTTAATGCCTCCACTGATTGCAAAGTGGCAGCAAGTTTCAGATTCAGACAAAGACCTTTTCCCACTGCTGGAATGCTTCACGTCAATTGCACAGGTAATTTTCCACCCTGTAGTGATGCGAATATGTCCCTTGTATAATGTCTTATTACCTGGATGCCTAATGTGAATAGTGTGATATCACGGGAAGCATATGCTTTACTTTAATGGATACTTTGTGCACTCATACACCTCATGTTATGAACTAACTTCGTGGATCGTGGTCCATACCAGCACAACATTTTTACTTTTCCAAGTAGAGAGTATGATTATGGACACACCTATTTTATGAACAACTTATCAAAGCACAAATTGTATGTTTTGATGTATGGTTTACATATCTTCCTAAGTTGCTTTATAACTATCTTGAAGATGAAACGAATGGGGTGTTTGGCTAAGTGGTTTAGGAAGGCGTAGTTTGGGTTTGCAATCTTATAACTAGCTCATTTCCATTTTCAGGCATTGGGGACTGGATTTTCACAATTTGCTCCCCCTGTATTCCAGAGGTGCATTAACATCATTCAGACACAGCAAATAGCAAAGGTTTAATCAGTAATCCTAATGCTTTTAATGATTTTTAAAAATTCTGATCGGTGAATCTTTGTTCTTGTTTATTCCCTTCAAATTTGATGTTTACTGTTGCATACATTTTGTAGATCTAGAGTATAGTAATCTATTACTACTGTATTACCCTTTTAAATTAATAGCCTTGGAATTATTGTTGTTGTTATTGCTCCCTCCGTCGCGAATTGATTTTATGCATTGTTCGGAGTGTGGCATCCAATATGGGACAGAGGGAGTATTATTATTATTATTACTCCATATTAATTTTCTATTAGTAGTTTTATTCTAGTTTAGTTAATCTTCCTAAGGGACTTATTATTAGTCTCTTACTACTTATACTAGAGTGGGATTCAAATGGGTTGTTGTTGTTACTTATTAGTAGTCTTATTCTATGTCAGTTAATATCCCAAAGAATTTCTGTTTCCCAATATGATTATGTTAGGTCTCTTGTAAGGCCTTTTCTATCTATTCTCTCACAATCATAAATAAAATGATCAATGTTTGAAGTAAACTTTAATTATGAGAAGCTAGTCACAGACTCACAGGTTGCTCTCCCTCCTTCCAGCTATGGGAATGGAAGGACCAATATCTTTTTTTCTTTTATCTTAGTTTTATGTTCGTAATACAGTAAAACACATCAGACTTTTTCAACGTGTTGCAAAATGTTAGTGAATTCATCTGAAATTGGCATTCAATAAAAACACTATGGGTCCGTTTGGTACACAGAATTGATCGAATAAGAACTGAGTTGGAAATTGAAATTCTATGGAATTGATTTGAATGGAATTGAATTCTCCAATTCCCGATTTATTTTTGGCACTACCTATTCCATATCCACACATTTTTGTGCTACCAAACAGCAAAATTGGTATTATTGTCCCCAATTCTAATTCCGTAGTTTGAATTCCGTATAGCAAACGGAGCCTATAGGCTCTAAAATTATGTATTTTGCAGTTGATTATTGTTTTTTGTCATTGGTGTGACCTTCATAAATATATAAGGGTCTTTAGAAAATCTATTAACTTGTAAATTTAGCAAATTTATTAATTTAGTACGCGGGCTCGAATTGGGACCAAACACTTCTATTAATTTAGTGCCATTGTTAACTAATCACATATCAAATTACCAGTATTATGCTGCATTTCTAAATGTGGATCAAGCTACTATAATACTGTTTTATCGGCACAAATGGATGTGAAGAACAATTTTGTTTAAAAGTAGGATCTTATTTTACCATTGTTATTGTTGCAGGTTGGTCATGCCTCAAGTGGGATCCAGTATGACAAGGAATTCATTGTTTGTTCTTTGGATCTCCTTTCCGGACTTGCTGAGGGACTTTGTAGCAGCATAGAGAGTTTGGTACTCAATATATGTATTTCTATTTCTCTCCATTCAAAAGAAGAAAAAAAACTAAAACCAAGAAATTGATTTTTATGCATTCTGAACATTCATGGCTGATTTTATCTTATGGGTGTCTTCTCTTATCTATACTTGCTTGAATATGGAAGGTTTTATTTTGTGCAGATATCACAAAGTAATTTAACAGATTTGCTTTTGCAATGTTGCTTGGATGATGCTTCTGATATCCGACAAAGTGCCTTTGCATTGCTTGGCGATCTTGCAAGAGTAAGTCACGAGTTATACAATTGTGCCTGGTCTCTCTACATTTCTAGGTCTAACTCAATGGCTTGTTAGCTGTTATTGTATTTTGTAGTTAATCTTAACACAAGCTTTTAATATATTTTGTGGTGACTTTTACTAGGTTTGTCCTATTCATTTACGTAGACACTTGTCTGAGTTTCTTGATGCTGCCATGAAGCAACTGGTCTGTTAATTGCGATAAGTTTTTTGGTCCTTGTGTGTTGTTGGAATCTTCTAGGATTTTGTAGTGGTTGATTTCCATGCTTTGAACAGGATGCTGGCAAGCTGAATGAGAATGTTTCTGTCGCAAACAATGCCTGTTGGGCAATTGGAGAAATTGCTATTAAGGTGAACAATTAATCATATCATGCCTGTTATCTGGCAACTATGCCATAATGCATACAAACTTTAGTGATACTAATACCCCAGTTATGTCTGGGAGTACTGCATGCCGGTGTTAAAGATTATTGGGATATGATATCCCTCTTCCTGTAAGAAAACTAATCTCCACACTTTTTCCCTTTACATCCTTGTAAAGGGAAGACTCTAGTTCTACAATGGTTAAATGATCCCGTAATGTAAGTGCAACTGGTGAAAGGGGGGGTGTCATGCATACTTTTGTGAAAGAGGGTGCATTGGTGGTTGCCTATGATCCTACAACTCGTGACATGTATGCAATGAAGATATTTTACCACCCGAACCTCTTGGCTAACTCTTAGGTCCACAAAGAGATATCTCCTGTTGTGCTGGCAGTGATCTCACGCTTGGTTCCATTACTACAACATGCTGAGGTGATATCCCTGAACTGCTTTTCCGTGTCTTTTTGGTGCTTTTCCTTGATAGTTGCTCTCTTGCACTCGCCATCTATGTTCTATTTCTTTCAAAAGGAAATCACAGCAAATGGCTTTTTAATCCAGATATTTCTCCTTTTTGAATGAATGTATTTTTTCTGTAAAGGAACTCAATAAGTCACTTGTAGAAAACAGTGCTATCACTCTTGGGAGACTTGCATGGGTGTGTCCAGAACTCGTTTCACCCCATATGGAGCATTTTATGCAAGCTTGGTGCATTGCTTTGTCAGTGTAAGCTATCTAGTGATTATCTTGGGTTTGTTTTTCCTTTACTTTTTTCAATGAAGTGTCTTGAGTTTTAACATTTTACAGTAGAGAATTGATAACCTACAACCTTAAGCAACACGTAAGATGTGAAATTATATCATTGATGTTTCTTGTGTGTAGATTTTCATGTCATATCATTATATTATCTACCATTGCTCTAACATTCATTCACACACCCCTGTTGTGGACAGCGTGTTTGCACAAAATTACTAGTCAATTGCATTGTTTCTTAACTCTCTTTTTTTGGAGTGAGGTGGGGGGGGACCCCTTTCCGTTTTCTGAGATGTGAGGTTTGAATTCTCAAACCACCAAAAATGTGTTACTATCATGTATGTTTGGTTGATTTGTGATTGTGGTGTGATAGGATACGTGATGATATTGAGAAGGAGGAGGCATTTCGAGGTTTCTGTGCAATGGTATGTCACTCCCATCTTTGTGCTTTGTCCAAATGGTTCTGGCAACCCATCCATCTAACATTTGAGTGTCATCAATACTTGCAGGTTAGAGCAAATCCACCAGGGGCTTTGAGTGCACTTGTTTTCATGTGTAAAGCCATTGCAAGTTGGCAGGTAAGAAGTCACTCCAACCCACTGCTGTTTACCTGGAAGTTTTGTTAATGATACAGAATGATTTGTAAGGGTGTGTTTATGATGTTATTGGTACTATTGTTTTTTTTGCTTATGTTTTCATCAGGAAATAAGGAGCAGGGATCTACACAGTGAAGTGTGCCAAGTGTTGCAGGGCTATAAACGAGTAAGTGATGCCTTTAACTTTCATGGATAGCCCCGCACACACACACACACAGTAACACCATTTTGCCCTTTTACATCTCTGATGGGAGGTTGTTTTGTGAGAAATTTCAGATGCTTGAGAATGGAGCGTGGGAACAATGCATGTCTGCCCTGGAGCCTCCTGTGAAGGATAGGCTTCTTAAGTACCTTTCTTAAACAGTCTTTCTTTGTTGTAAGGGCAGACAATGTCTTGGTGCTGATCACCTTTACAAGGGTGAGCCGGGTGCTCGCTCCCCTGCATTTTCTTCTTCTTTGCATTTGTCTGATTGTTGTAGAGCCTGTGTGATATATCGAGAAAGGGAGAGCAAAGTGCTGTCAATGTCCGTCGAAGAAATTGGATTGAAACGCTTGATTTTTACACGAAAAAATTGGGTGGTTGAAGAAAATGGTGACTCTGAGTTTGTATAAAAGGGGCAGGCATTTCTGATTCTTTTTTCTCTTCAAGATGTCGTGTTTGTTATGGTTTGCAGAAAGTTAGTCCATAGTTTTACCTTTATGGATCTAGAAATTTTGCCTCATGTAATCTCTTATACATACATACATACATACATATATATGTACTTGGCAGTGCCTGGTTAGGTTACGTTTACCACACCATGCAGTGGTGGAGATAGCTTCAGCAATAGAAGACGTGTTGGATGTGTTGTATTCTGCTTGGAGTGCTTGGTGTTGGAATGTTTTCAACGGAGTATTTGATTGTGTTTCAAAAAAATGGAATTTTGGATTCGAGTCCATATTTCTGGCTTAATTAACTTCGCTAAATATTGTAAAACCACTTGCTACAGCAAAAAAGAAAAAATCGAAAAAAAGGGATGATGAATAGAAAGTGTTTCCTCCCATCACGGACCAATGTGGCAGCCAAATCAACCAACACGGCTAATTCCTCCCTCCCCCCACCCCCAACTCAACGCATAGCCTAAGATTGTGTTCCGTTCATCTGATTTGATTTTATGAAGATTTGATTTAATATGATCTTATTAGATGTGAGGCATTTTGATTGAATTTAAGTTGGTTTGAATGGATTGGATTTGATCTGATTGTAGTTTTTTTAAAAAGTTTTTATGATTTGATTTGATTAAATTCAATCTGATTTTAACAAGAATAAATAATACATTGAAAAATAAGTTTAACTAAACAAGCCCTAAGTGGCTAAGTTCAGGCTTAAGCTCTAAATGGAGAACTATCTCCTACTTTTCTCCTCCATCAGATTTTGTGGAACCAATACACAATTTCTTTGCTACTCTTCTTCATCTCTTACGTAAAAAGAATTACTCTCCCGTTCATAAATTATCTTCTCATTTTCCTTATTTGTTCGCCCATAAGTTATTTTCTTGTTTCCTTTTTTGGCAAATGTTTTTTCTTTAAACCACATCACTATCCTTACCGTACCCATTAGTTACTATCGACGAAGGATATGAGGATTCTGACAAGAGGAGAAATTAATGGGAGGAGGAACTAGAAAAGAAGATGATGAGGGACTGGTGAAGGAGGAAGAAGAAGATGGAGGATAGATGGTTAAAAAAAGTATATTATGTTTTGATATAAAAATAATATGAATAGTTTCATTTTGAAATGTAGGTTTCAAATATTAAAATCTGGACGTGAGATATTGGAAACGTGAGAAGTTAAATGAGAAAATTAAATCTAGACAAAAAAAATATTATTTCGTAGTTAGATAAGTCTCTTATTTGGTATTTTAATATCTTTTGATAGACTTATTAACATAGATCTTAATATTATTTGAAGCTTTATTGTGTGTTTATCATGAAACAAGTGATTTTGGATTGATTTGTGATTAGATTTTAATGTCCATGTACAAGTGAGAGGGCCCCATTGCAAGCAAATTTGATATTATGGGGTTAATTTATAATTTTCAAATGTCATTTCTCCCCAATTCAATTTTTGAATCAAAAGGCGGCATATAGGAGTTTTCTACGAGGCGGGAATAAGACGACCCGACCCGGGGGTCGCTCTTTCTGTGTAGCAGCGTCGGGGAAGACCAGCGTCCCTTCAATTTAATATTAGTGTTTGGTTTCACGTTGCACTTGATTCCAAACCAATCACGTTATTTTTGTGAATTCGATAACCCTTACTTCCACCATTGTACTTGTTGGCGACCGAAGAAGGAAGCCGGATCAAAGAAGAAAACTGAATCCCTTTGGGATTCGGTTTAGTATCTTTCCTACTTTGCTTAGTTCTTGTTATAGTAAGAATAGAAATATGGTAGAAATAAAAGTTTACTTAAATGCTTTACTCTCTTCCTATATAAAGGGGGTTAGACCCCTAGAAGTACAAGAGGCGGGGGGAAGAGACTTGTCGATTAATTTATCTCCAATTACTCCTCTTGTACTCAATGCCAATCCGCAGGACACTGCACCTCCTACTCCAAATGTACCTGGAAATGAAGACACCTCAAATGATCACCATCAAGCCAATGCTCAACCCGAAAATTTGCTCAGGAGGTCATCTAGGTCTAAAAGGCCTACTAACTTTGATGATTATGTTACCTACCTGTCTGAAGCAGAAATGGATGCTGGAAAGTTTAATGATCCTACCTCTTATAATGAAGCCATTAACAGTGATCAGTGTTCTGAATGGAATAAAGCCATGATTGAAGAGCTTGACTCCATGAAGAAAAATGATGAATTGGCTTGTGAATACAAAGGTTTAACCCTCTTTATATAGGAAGAGAGTAAAACATATAAGTAAACTTCTATTCCTACCATATTTCTATTCTTACTAAAACAAGAAATAAACAAACTAGGAAAGATACTAAATCGAATCCTAAAGAGATTCAGTTTCCTTCTTCGATCCAGCTTCCTTCTTCTATCGCCAACACCCCCCCTCAAGCTGGAGCGTGGGAGTTCAACATGACCAGCTTGGACATCAAAAGATTGAACAAAGCTTGAGGAAGCCGCTGCCATCGTTGTCCAAGTGTCATCTAGCTAGCTGCTCCGATACCATGTAGAAATTAATAAGAGGAGAAATATTTTGTATATTGAATCCGCTTGTGCTTACAAAGGTCTAACCCCCTTTATATAGGAAGAGAGTAAAGCATTTAAGTAACTTTTATTTCTACCATATTTCTATTCCTACTATAACAAGAACTAAACAAACTAGGAAAGATACTAAACCGAATCCCAAAGGGATTCAATTTCCTTCTTTGATCTGGCTTCCTTCTTCTGTCGCCAACAGTACTCATTCCTTACTTTTTCGACATCCTGTTTCACTTGCATCTCTTTTTGATCAGGAGTTTTCAGCGTCAAACGATGCGCCAGAGATCTCCTGCACTATAGTTCTTTTAATGTAAGAGAGAACAAGGAGTGGCGAGTTGTGTGTTGGATCTATAAAATTGCATGGAGGAGAAAAGTAGGAGATATCCCTCCATTTAGAGTTTGTGCGAACTCAAGACTTAGGGTCCGTTCAATTTAAATTTTTTCAATTTATTACTTATTCTTAATAAAATCAGATCAGATCTAATTATATCAAGACAAGCCAAATTAGAAATAATTTTAAATATTACGGAGTACTACAATTGGGTCAGGTTCAATTCGATCAGATTAACTTAGATTCAATCAGATCACATCAAATCTGATAAGATCATATCAGATTTAATCAGATCATATCAGACTAGATCTTTATAAAATCATATTAATCCAATCAGGTTAGACAAACAGAACACAAAAGCGACATTGCTCTTTTTGAGATATGTACGGTACTCTGTTCATTAATTTACCTCCTAACCTTGGTGACACCCCCACCCCCCCTCCCCCCTTCCTTCTTGGCCGAGCTAAACTCACATCCTAACCCCTTCAATTTGGTTCCCAAGTGTTGTTGACTTTGACGCTCTTTTTGTGAGTATTTGCATAGGACCAGATATAGTTGGCTCGAAGAATTATTTGAGTATTATCCATAAGTGATAAGTCCAAACACTACTTCTACATACTACTCCGGAACATGTAGAGAGAGCATTATTTAAATTTTAAGGCATGGCAGCAAACTAAATACACACACATACACATATATAAAGCATATATATAGAGTCCACGTGCACATAAGTGGTCTGGGTGATCAACTTTTATAAGACACGCAGTGGATGCCTAGGCATAACACCTCTTCTCCGCCGCCGCCTCTCTACTTTAATTTCACATTATCAATTAACACCCACTCCATCTACTCCTCTGCCTGCACGTACCCAGTGTGGGGAAGTAGCTAGCTAGCTAGCTGGTTGGAAGTATAGGTCTTGAAGAAGAAGAAGAAGGTCGTATAGCTCTAGTTAATAATATATACATACTGAGGATGACGACAAGTTGGTGGCGGCGGTGGTGGGAGGGTGGCGTGGTGGGGAGGTTGGGCCACCTCCTGGTCACGGTGTTCCTGTCGGAGTTTGCGTCGTTCACGGTGACGCCGGTGATGCCAGATGTCACCATGGACGCCATCTGCCCCTCCCAAGACCACTGTTCTCTCGCTATCTTCTTATCCGGCTTCCAACAGGCTGTATGTCCTTTATTATTATGCTTTATTTCACTATTTTGTTTCCTACTATACGTGCAACCCCGTTGGTTTAGTCGTTAAGGTTTTATATATATATATATACAATCTGGCCTGGCGGGCGACGGCTGCAGGTGACGGGAGTGGGGTTGGTGGTGATGATGCCGGTGATAGGGAGGTGGTCGGATGTGTACGGCAGGAAAGCACTAATGACTGTTCCCATGACGGCGTGCATCGTGCCGGTGGCCATACTGGCGGTGCGGAGGACGGAGAAGTTTTACTATGCCTACTTCGTCTGCCGCACCCTGTCTGGGATTGTGTGTGATGGGGCAATTCAATGCCTGGCTCTTGCTTATGTGGCCGACAGGACAACCGATGGGCAGAGGGCTTCCGCTATCGGGATACTGGCTGCCATTGGTTCTGCTGCTTTCGTCTGTGGAACATTAGCTGCTCGCTTCTTCTCTACTCCCCACATCTTTATGGTCCATTCTTCTTCTTCCTCTTTTAATTTTACCCCCAGCCGCGCCTTAAATTATCAGCTCTTAATTTACAGTGAGCATTCGATTCTGACTGTGTGTGTGTTTTATTGTTTTCAGTTTGCCACAGTTGTATCATTGGTGGCCGCCGTGTACATGAGAATATTCCTTTCAGACACAACACCTTGCTGCTGCTGCTGTAATATGATTCAAAGTGATGCCACTGCGAACCGTCTTGGGAAGACGTCAGAACCTGAAAAAGCCACAGAAAATGGTAGTGCTCCACTGTTGCTGGACTATCATCATCATCATCATCATCATCACAAACAGCAGAAAAATCAAGGTGCACCTAATAACACAACGATCTTCAACAAGAAACCTCCGTCCCCAGTCGACATTTTTCGCTTTCTCAAGAACAGCGGGTACTGTGTGTGCCTGTGTCTATCTATATATCACCACTTACAATACTGCACCATTAGTTAGGGTAATCATATATGATTTTGGTTGGTTGCAGTTTAATGTTTTCACTAGCAGCATCCATCGCCTTCTTAAATAGTGTGGCAGAAGGAGGAGAGCAAGCTCCCTTCCAGGTTAAATTATAGGGTCATGCTATGGTGCCACCACATGGCCACATGAGTGCTACCATGGGTGCACCCATGCTTCGCAGATGTGTGTTTGTCTGTGCGAAACATAGGTGCACCTATGGTAGACACCCTAGCATTATTCTAAATTATATACCTTATTACGGATTAGCTACCTAATTTGTGGTTGATTTTGCATATTCAAGTACCGTGCTATAATTTAATTTATGCAGTACTACCTAAAAGCCCGATTTCACTTCAAGAAAAACAACTTTGCTGATATAATGCTGATTAACAACCTGGGATCAACCCTCTCACAGGTATGTGAGTGTATACCATTACCATGTATCAGTTTATCAATTAATTGGGTCAAATGTCTCAAAGCTAGCTAGGCTGCTGTATTCATAGTAACTTACTACTCTGTTTGCTGATGGATGAAAACAAATGGGGAGGGTGTGCGTGTTCTAACTATCCACTTTTAAAAATGAAGCTATTGCTGTTTCCAATGTTGGCACCTTTAGTTGGAGAGGAGGTTTTGCTTTGCATTGGACTCTGTGCCGGATTCTGTAACGTATGTGTTGTGTTTATGCCGACTACTGTGATGTTATTTATGTGCACCCAACAATATATATTTTGGGTGCACACACAACATTGCTCCAAATACAAAATGCCAACTTTATTATGAGGAGTAACTTTGTTTCTCTTGTCGAAACTCCATCTGCAGATGTTTGTGAACAGCATAGCATGGTCAATTTGGGCAAGCACGCAAACGATGATCTTCTTTCTTCTTAGTTTAGTTAGTTAGTTTGTTTTTGTTAATGATTGAATGGTTGAACAACTAATGCAGGTTCCATACGTTGCTTCTCTGTTCCCAATCTTGATTTCCTTGGTAAAACCAGGGGTGAGTTGAATCAGTTCCTATATAAGACTTATTACAAATTTTTGGAATTCTAATAAGCTGATATCACCATAATCATGCAGCTACAAACCATTGTTTCTAAACAAGTTGGAAGGAATGAGCAGGTAGGTAAAAATGTAAAATCATTCATCAATCCATACGTACGCACGCTCTGTTCGGTTTGTAGGAATCATTAGTGTATTGTTTTTACATCATGATGAAAAGCCAAGAATGCATTTGTAGGGAACTGCCCAAGGCTGCATTTCGGGCTTAAGTTCATTTGGTAACATCATATCTCCCCTCATATTCAGCCCCTTGACCGGTAACTACTAGTACGGAGTACTTACGAATCCATTGTTGATGTTTTTTACTTACGGTGTATTAGTTAAAATAAATTTGATTTGTTGTGCTTCGAATTAATAAAGTGAAACATGATGATCCTTATCGATCATCTTTTCCAGCTCTGTTCCTATCAGATGCGGCTCCTTTCCCGTATCAAGGATTCAGCATCTTGTGTGTCGGCATTGCTTGGGTGAGTAACTCATTCTTCCTTATTAATCATTCAAAACCCCATGCAAAACACAACACAACATAATCAAGCTTCGAAGTATGTGTGTTTTGTCTTATACTGTATATAATCAATTTGCAGCTGATAGCTTTCGTTCCGGGTGCAATGATGGTAAAGCTAGCTCCTCTTACTCCTCATCCACCCATCATCCCCGTTGTCCCATCCTCTGATCTATCCGTCGTTCTATAGTGTTCCTTCACTCATGTTATCAATGAATGAAGCTATATATTGTAAATTAAGGAGTTCCCGGAAAATGCTCGACTTTAACCATCACTATAGTCACACACATTGTGTATATTGTGTGTGTGTGGTACATTGTGGTGTCAAATTTAGCACCTAGCATAAATTATTACTACCATTTTGAGATTCCCATGGAACAATGATATAAAGATGTCACATTCTCAACAACAACAGCATCAGAAAAGAAAGAAGATTACATTAACATAATAGTAATGAATATAAGAAGACAAACCAGGTGGAGCAGCTAGCTAGCTAGCACCGATCGAACGAACCTCCATAGTCAGTCTCAGTCATAGCAGATATGAGGAATCCGACCGCAAGCTGTCTTTATGAGGTCCATGTACTTGACCAAGTTCTGGCAGCGGGTGATGTCCAAGTATTGGACCTTCTTCAAGCACAGTATGTTCAACAGGTCTGCGTCCCAGACCGTCGAACCCGAGAGGTTTATCAGGCTCAAGTTCAGCAGATGGACGAGGTGGGATGAGAAATGGTGATAGACTCCCCCGTTTCTTCTGATCCCCTTTATGTTAGGGCAGCATCGTCCCACCTCCTGCAGAATTGCAGGCCTGAAGTATGGCGAATCCGAGAAGTCAATAATCTCTAACTTCCCACACCTCCCTATCACCTCCAGCATCGCTCCTTGGCTCCCATTGTAGGATCCATGGAGAGACAGGTGCCTCAGGTTGGGGCAGCTGTCAATGAAAATTACTAGGGAGTACTAAAACTTGGAATTATTCTGTAAATTGTTTCTGAAATTTCTAGGGTTTAGACTTACCGGAGGGCGATGAGATTCAGAACGGCGTCGTCGTTTAGAGGGCCGTCCGGGGAAGTGAGGAAGGGGGAGAGGAAGAGGGAGGAGATGGCATCTCCGCCGCCTGCTCTTTGGAGGAGCATTTGAAGGCGGTGGACGCCGCAGGTGCGTCTGCCGCGGAAGGGATCGGGAAAGACAGAGCGGTAGGGGAAGGAGGCTTTGACGAATGCGTCGTCGGCGGAGAAGGGGTTGGCGTCGGCGATCATGGAGGTCCAGCAATGGGGATCGCGAGAGGCGTGGGCCCATGATTTGCAGACGAATTGAAGGTTGAGGAGGCGATCTTCAATGGAGGACTTGCGGAAGATGATGGAGAGAGCGAGGGTGGGAAGATGATCCCACGTTAGCGTTGTGCGTTTCCACTCAATTGTAGCGTTCGTTGTCTGAGAATGGCAGAGTGAGGACTCACATTGGACACTTATTTTTAATTTTTGAACGTAAAATAGCTGTAAACTTCGAAATATTATGTTTTGGAATGGATAGGATAAAAACACAAAGAATGGCTCATTTCATCCCAAATTAAAGTGGTATCTTTAACATTTAGAAAGATAAGGAAATAATAAAATTATTTTTACAAAAGAGGGATTTTTAATGTAAATCTGTCATTCCATCTCTTAAAAAGAATAAAAAGTTCATTTTTGAAAATAAAAAAGTGAAAATTATATCTTAGACCTATCTTGGATACTTCAAAATTTTACGAATAATAAGAATTAGATTACAAATGTAATTTTAAGGATAATAAGAATTAGATTACAAATGTTTTCTACTCACAATCTTTAAATGACATTGTGTTTTGTATCGTGTTCCACTTGTTGTACCTGATTTAAGAGTTTAACTCCCTACTCTAGTTATGGTAAAAAAATACTTATCGAATGTTTTTTTTTGAAGCAACTTATCGAATGTTTGATACATTGAATTGATATTAAAATTTTATAAAATTAAATTGGATGAGATTGTATTCTCAAATTTTAATTTATTTTGTGCAATCAAACAATAAAATAAAAATTATTATTCTCAATTTCAATTTTATAGTCTGAACAAACAAAGCCTTATATTGGCTATGTTTGGAAAACAACTTTTCAGATATCTTTTGTCATATTTGACTGAGTTTATCTTTTTTTAACAAACAAACAGCCAAAATCATTATTTGTCTAATAACTTTTTCAGTTGTCGTTTTGATCCAAAAAACCAAAATTAGAAAAGCTAAGGGAAGTAGCTTTTGGATTTGGCTGTTAGGAAAATTATTTTTTTAGTCATTTTTATTAAAAAATATTCTATAATATATGTAAAAAATAAAAAAGTTAAAAAAATTCAAATCTAAAAAAACTAAAATTTAAAAATTTTAAAAAATGAGATAAGAAAATCAAAAGTAAAAATCATTAAAAAGTTGTGACTCTTCTGGCGTGCATTTTTTTGTACACTTGGTTCTAGTTGAGTCTCTGGAGACTCCGAGTCTTCGAGATTCAACGAGGTTTGTGTATTGAACAACGACAGATTACTCCCTACATTTGGTAAATCCACACTGCTTGTTCGATTGGCTCAAGATCGGACGAAAGAACGTTATAACTGAAGGGATTCATGTTAAAAATAAAAAAAATATTTTTATAATTATTTTTTAGAAAGAAGAGAGAGAAATTTATGTCCGTGGTGTATTCAATTTTTTACAAATACAATGAATTTATAGAGGAAGAAAAGATTTTTTTAAAGTATAACAATATTATAGCCGTTGGGGAGGAGGGGGCCAATGGCTCAAAACTTTAATTCGCATCAAACATTTGAGGCTTGATAAATAACCCCGACTTAACAAGGAGGGGGTGGGGTTTAACGGCCGCGTTAAAGACAGAAGTAACACATGGAGCGTTATGAGTATTTCACTGGAAATCACTCTCAATAAGACTAAAACATAGAAAAAGTATCAAAATAAAAGTTTCGTTTTTATTCATGAAATATGACTTCGTACTATGATAATGTGGCAGTGTATATGTCCACATTACTATACCTTTTTGTAATGTACATGACCATGTTTGATAATATAAATTTTTTTAACGCTATTTCAGAAATAAAAAATGAAAGTTCTATTTTAATATATTTTTTAATGTTTTACTCTTAGATTTGGCTTATCCTTATTTTGATCTTTGACACTGCTCTTGTGCATTTTAGATATGAGTTTGAGATAGATGATTGGAGATGCCCATCTACACCAAAACAGACCTCCACGATCGCCAGAAGCATCATTCCATCCATTATCAATGTCTGAGTGGTCTCAGCTCCCCGGAGAACTTATTGACCTAATCGCCAGCCACCTCGATTCCGAAATCGATTTCCTCCGCTTCCGCTCCGTCTGCTCGTCCTGGCGATCCTCCGTCCCGGAGAAACCCAACAACTCTTACCCCTCCCGCTTTCCCGTCATCCCAAATGACGGAATCTCCGATACCAGCTGGGGCTTTAAGCTCTCCAGGCGCCCCGTTTACATGATCCGATCTCCCGGACCTGATGATCCGACACCCTCACCATCCAATGCCTGGATCGTTAAGCTCGATTTTGAGTTTCCTGGCCGATCGCGATTGCTTAATCCTCTCTCCGGATCACATTTGAAGCTGCTCCCTTCGAATTTCCCCAAACGCCTCGATGTTTCGCAATACCACATTCGCGAATTGGGCCAAGAGTTCGCTCTTCACTACATAAACTACAGGCCTTTGGCGACTTCAGCCGGCGAGGCTGCCAATCTTTATAGGGAGAAGGTCGCCTTGTGTCCGGATGAACACATGTTAGGGTTTGTGCTATTAACCATTCATGTTTCTGGGAAATTGGTTATTTATAGATCTGGTGGTTCCAAATGGACTGTAATCAACGACCTGAATTTACCTTATGATGATGTGATCACCAAGGGCGGACGCTTTTATGCTGTTGATAATATCGGAAGAACCGTGATTCTTAACCTGTATTCCAGCACGGACGTGAGTTTGAGTGTCGTTGCGCAGCCAGTTTTTGGTGGAGACAAGAAGTTCCTGGTGGAATCATGTGGAGACTTGCTAATGGTTGATAAGTACTTGACTGCCGGGCCTGAGGATGATCTAGGATACAGTGAAGGTTTTGAGTTTTATGAGGATTTTGATTGTTTCATGAGCGAGAGAACCGTGAAGTTTAAGGTTTATAAATTGGACGAAGCAGGAGGGAAATGGGTTGAGGTTTCCACTTTGAAGGACAGGATACTCTTCTTGGGTGAAAATTGTGCATTTTCTGCTACTGTCTCGGAGCTCAATTCTGAGTGCAAAGGGAACTGTATAGTGTTTGCAGATCTCTTATTCTACATGAGGGAAGAAGATGAAGAAGATGACGGTGTCTTAAAATTACATGGTATAGCTGTCTATGACTTGGACACAGGCAGCATTGGTCCTATAAGTAGTTATGCTCGCTATTCTGAGCTATTTTGGCCACCTCCTCCTTGGATCTCTTCTACTTCACAGATCCAAGTAAGAAATTATTGATCTTTTCTTTACCTAATTCACTTGGTGTTATCCATTAGTGTTTCTTACATGTTTACTGATACAGCATTTGGGTTGAGGCTTATTTCTCTGTAAATAAAGTTGAGCGTTAATGACCCAGAGTTCCCATTGGTTTCTCAATACTCTGGAACATATATATCATGCATGTATGGATTTATGTTATCGTTGAACTGTTTGGCCTTAACTAGATGAGTTTCTTCCCAGTAGAGAGATTATGCAAGTTTTAATATGTAAACCTTATGTCTTTCCCTGCAAGTTGATGACATCTATACTCCGTAAGAGATATAAACTGACCAGAAATTGCATTATATTGGGCAGGACGGGATGGGCCAACTGCGTATTTGAGCTTCTTACGTCATAATAAGATGTGGAGAGATGAACTGACAATGCTGATGCCCCGGATGGTCTTGACGCCGTTTGACTCTCCGGTCTTCTTCTGTTTTAGCTTCTTAATTGCATACATTAATCTTCATTTAACTATGGGATAATGCATCTTTTGGTGTTGGAAAAAATAGTTAATAAAGTTCATTAGACTTTTTGGTTTATCAGCTAGCCTAGAGATATTTGACACAATTAATAGAAGGCTTGTTTTGCCTTTCGAAAGTGTTAACTTGTTTTGCAGTTTTGCCATTATTATGCAAATAGCAGGTAGAATTGAATCTAATTAGAAAGCAAACTGTCATAGCGGACTTGCTCAAGGAAGGACTCAGATGTGATAGAGAGTGAACGAATATAGAAGATGAATCAATCAAGATCAGATTTCACATAAGAAAATGTTGAAATGTGAATTATGAGCCCATCTAGCGACAACGGTATATGTTAGAGTTATCATTTTGAAAAAATTATATACAACAACACTTAGTTTTAGTATTTTCAAAATTAATATACATCATTAAAAAATATCTAAAACACTAATCTCAAGGGAAAACATTATTCCTAAACAAGGCACATGAAGTTACGAAATTTGTGGCCGGACTTTGTTGTTTGATCGCCCCCTTTTTCATGATATTCTTATAAGAATGTTATTAATGGAGTACATAATTGGATACTTGTTTTTTTAAGGTAATTCTTAACAAACTTTCGTATGATTTATGGTGAAAGAAAAAAAACGGAATCTTTTCTTTTGAGCATATTTGTCTATTAATTAATCTCTAAATTAGTAAAGTTACTCATTAAAAATGTGTTTCAATACAAGAAACTTCGGAAAGAAAAATAATGGACGGAGGGTGCTAATTATGTAATTCAAATCCATGAATTTGCACATAATTAGAGCGTATATTTCGCAATTAATCACAAAGTAACTTATAAATTGTAACGAGACTAATTGGTTGAACGCTTGTGCCCAGAGCTTCTAGCGTTTAGCTGTGCGAAAGGATAGCAAAGAAATTATACCTCAAATCGCATATGTATTTTATCAGAAGCCAAACAGCAAAAGTTAACACGTTAATGTCTAGATTAATTTTTTAATTTCGATACAAATTGGCGTCACCAAATATAATGTGAGCAATTACACTTAGAATATCAAACATTAAATAAAACTCAATTTCAGTATCTTGAAAATTATACAAAATGTCAATTTCTCTTTCCCTTTCTAAAAATGTGCCTTTTATGCCCGATAGATCAGAATAAATGTTCATAATTTCAAATTTATTGCACATTTGCATCTCTTAGATTGCGAATTACATGGATCAACAAACATACTCAATGAGACCGTGTGTTATGAAGCGTGAGGAGGGGCTTAACCACCCTTCCTCACGCCCCTTTGCCATTACACATTCCAAATGTGAGGGCATGGCCCCTGGCCAAGTGATAGCCCTCGCGCAAACGCTCTCCTTCCCCCCATATCTCACATATTTTCACTTACATACATATGCCTACGTGATACTTCATCCAGCCCCGTTAAGCCTCACTATAACATATAACCTAATAGCTAATGAAAATTTTGATGACAATTGCTCATAATAAATGCAGGAAACCCAATATAAATGATGTTTCTTAATTTTTGTACTTTATACCATCTCCTTCTAGGAAAGCTGTTTTTGTTTTGACTTTATTTATCAAACAATGATACTCTTTGATTACAAACTAATCATAATTTTAATAAACAGATATTATAAAAGTTTGATATTTCAAAAATTTATTATAATATGAACTCAATTATATTAAATTCATATTAAAACTAATTATTTTTTCATAATTCATAATTAAAGAGTGTCACTATTTGACTAAAAAATTAAAAAAAAATATGTTTTCAAGAATGGAGAGGTTTACCACATTTTTTAAGGATGAATAGGGAGTACAATCTTGTATTCAAACGCATTCGGGCATTCCTATTCATTTTTTCGGGCAAGGAATAATGAGCATTTATTTTACGAGTGTTTCTTTGGTACGCATTGAGTGCATATTATTTTCGTAGATCTTTTTAAATAAAAAAATTTAGTTTTTATTTTTATTAAAAAACAAATATTTATTTAAATAGAATGGAGAGGTAGTTTACCACATTTTTTAAGGATGAATAGGGAGTAAAATTAAACAAATATTAATAAAATGGGAGCGGAGTAAAAAAAGAGCATTTATTTATTTATTTATTTACAGGGGAGTAATTCTGTTCACTAATGTCATTTGTCAATTGGACCTAAGGGGGGCACTTTCTTCCAAACAAAGAGTAGGTAGCGGAGGAGAAATAAGATTAGAGAGCGGCCGGAGAAATGGGGGCTCCATCCGCCGCCGCAATGCATGTGAAATCGGAGTCGGAGGTGACGAGCGTGGACGCCTACTCGCCGCCGCGGTCCCCCAGGCGAACGCTGTACTACGTCCAGAGCCCATCTCATGACCCGGAGAAAATGTCGTGCGGGTCCAGCCCCTGCGGGTCCCCGACCCGTCAGTTCCAGTACCACTGTTCCCCCATCCACCACTCCAGGGAATCCTCCACTTCCAGATTCTCTGCCTACCTCAACCACAAGACCGCCGGCAGGAATGTGAACCCGCCTCCGCCGTGGAAACGCCTGTCGCCGCCCTCAGATCCCGACGACGGGGGCCGACTCCGCTCCCCCGTCAAGTTCTATTTCTTCTGCTTTCTCTTCTCATTCCTCGTCCTCTTCTCGATTTTCTCCATCATTCTCTGGGCCGCCAGCACACCTTACAAGCCCAAAGTCTTCGTCAAGGTACCCCCCGTATCCTAATTAATTAATGAATTACTCAATTGAATAATTTCCTTTCCTTTTTCTTGAGTTATAAGCCCGACTCGGGTGTGCTCCGATTTCGAGTTGACTCAATTGGATAATTGAGTCAAAAAACCAAAAAAAATGAGATTAATTATTATGAAGATAATTATTGGGGGAAGGGGGGGGGGGGACAGAGCATAAGAATTGAGGAGTTTAAAGTTCAAGCGGGAATGGACGGGAGCGGGGTGCAAACGGAGATGGTGAGTTTGAATTCAACGGTGAAGATGTTATATGGCAATCCGGCCACCTTCTTCGGCCTCCACGTCACCTCCACCCCTTTCCAGCTTTCCTACTACACCCTTAACATCGCCACCGGTCATGTACGTACCCTTTTTTTTTTAATTCCCTCTTCATTATGATTATGCTCCTTTTCATTCAGAAAATTACTTCAAATCCTACATTATCTGAAATGTATTTGGGCGTATCCTCAATTTTTTAGGTTCCATATTTTAGACAACTTACTCTCATTTATTCTCTAATCTCTACCTAAAAAAAGACCTCATTTCACTATTTCAAAACAAAGGTACACCCTTCCTTTCTAAATATTTTAAGCATAGTTTAATTTTATTTTTGTCAAAGCATGCAACACTTTGATTGTAAATCAGATATAGTTTTAAATAATTAAATATTATAGATATTTTATACTTCTTCCATATATCACTTGTATCTTTCCGTACACTAAACACAGAGTCAAATTTTATATAGCTTGTTTTCTTATTTGCAATTGGATGAAGTAATACTAGCATGTTAAGGTCAAATAGCTCCGGTGCCCCTTGTGGTTTGGAATATTGGCACCAATACCCCCTCTATTTTCAAAACTTATTTCTAAAGTCTCCGTGATTTCAAAATGCTGCACCCGTGCCCCCTCTGATCATTTTCCGGCCATTTTTTGGCGAAGAGAGAGCATTTGTGCATAATTTTTAAACCATAGGGGGTATCCGTGCTCATTTTTTATTTTTCGTTTATTATTTGTATTTTTCTTTTTTTAAATATTTTCTATCTCTTTTTTCTTTTCCTAGTTTTTTTTCTAATTTATTTTCAATTTTTTATAATGTTTTAAAATTTTAAAATTTTTTGTTTTTGAAATAAAAATAAAAAAGTTAACATACATTGCATCTATTTGAAATTAAACATTTTCACTTTTTGTTACGTACTTATTTGGAAAGTTCAAAAAAAAAAATCTAGAATAAAAAAATAAAAAAATGGAAAAATAAAATGGAAAATAAAAATACAAAAAAAAGTCTCATACAAAAATGAACAAGCCTAAAAAAGTCCTTAGAATTGAGATGTTCGAAAAAGATATTCATTTTTATTTTTCTATTATTTTGTTTCTTATTTTATTCGTCATTTTTTTGAAATTCTCCAAAAAAAAAGTTTACTTTTTTCAGAAAAAACAAAAATTGTTGATTTGAGATGTACATATACATTATATGTTAATTTTTTCAAACAAAAATAACTTTAAATTTTATGAGCATTATAAAAATAATTTAAAAAAAACTTTATTAATAAAAGTAACAAATAAAGGAAAAAATGGAAAAAAACAAAAAAAATAAACGAGAAATAAATATCAGCACCGATACCCCATGTGGTTTAATAAATATGCAGCAATGCCCACCTTCTTCGTCGAAAAAATAACCGGAAAATGATCAGAGGGGGCACGGGTGCAGCATTTTAAAACCACAAGGACTTTAGAAACAAGTTTTAAAAACAGAGAGAGTTTTGGTGCCTATTTTGCAAACCATGGGGGTACCGGCGCAATTTGGCCGGCATGTTACATCTAGTTTTGTTAATTTTTTGATATAGTTTTAAATATGTAATTTATTTTTTTAATTTTACAATTACAATCAAATAAATTGAATTAAAAACAAAGTCGTAAGTATTGTAAGGTAGACCGAAAAGATTCAAATGGAACAAAGAAAGTATATCAAAAATATAGTTTAAATGAACTAAAATGAACTCAATTTAACTAAATTTACTTTATTACTAAATATTTTTTTTTCTTTCTATCATTAGTGACCAAAGTATTGTACAATTAGATTTTAAAAAAAATCAAACTATGTAAAGAATCGTTTTGCAACGGAAAAAGTGTTTAAATGTGAAATCACTTGAATGGAAAGAAGTAGAGGGTCCGTTTTGAAGTGAATTAAGGGGTTGCGCTTTGGGGATGCGCGTCCTAAAGTCTCCGCATTAGGACGAGTTTGGTGTGATCAATTTGGTCGGTCATCCAAATGACAAATCATAGCTATGCCCCAGATTTGACTAGTTTCTGGACCCCACACTGCACCCATTACGGTGTATTTATTGGTTTCCCCACTGCAAAGGGAAGGGCATGGTTCCCAATATATTTCGGTTAACTAATTGGAATTTGGAATAGTATCATATCCTCACAATTCAAACGAGTTTTACATAGAAAATTGATTTTGATTCCCTACTCTTTTAAAACCCAAGGGTACCATGTCATATATTCCATCCCTTTCCAAATATTAGTATAGGGGCATATTTAATTTGTGTAAACATAAATAGAATGATACGTCTCACTACATCTGTCATATTTGAATATTTGATTGTCTGTAATCATAATATATACTAGCATTAATTAAATAAAATTCATATCCGAGTTATTAATTAATTATTCAATTTCCTTGGGTGTGCATATACATGCAGATGAAGAAGTTTTATATGGCGAGGAAGAGTAAGCGGGTAATGGTGACGGTGGTTGAGGGGCACCAGATTCCTGTTTATGGGGCGGTGCCAATCCTTGACGGCGGCGGCACGGTGTCTTTGCCCCTCAATCTCACATTCGTCGTGCGCTCACGGGCCTACATTCTGGGCCGCCTGGTCAAGTCCAAATTCTACACCCACATTTTATGCCAAGTTGCTCTCAGCGGGAATCATATTGGCAAGCCCATTAACCTCGCTACTCCCGGATCTTGTACTTATTATCATTGAATCAATTATTACTATTACTCTACGGACTAATTTATCTATTTTGGCCTACTAAATTTAATCTGATTATACTTTTATAATATTTATACGTACCACTCCATGGTTGTAGGTAAATAAAAATATAACACACGTAGTAAATCTCAACAAAAGAAATACAACATATATTTAGGGCTTAAAGAAGCTAATTTTGACCCCGGTATCGACCACAATGTATAGACTGGCTGCAATGACGGTTCCGCTGAGACCCACGCCTGTGAGCCCTAGGACCCAGTTCAGCCACCACATCCCGCCGTACCTCTTCGGTTTCTTTGCCTTGAGCCACATGAAACACGGGTAGGAGAACGTGACCGGCAACGCGATCCCTCCGATGAGGCCGGCGAAGCTTGCCAGGAAGGGAATGGCGACGGCCATAAAGTAGCAGACGAAGGCGAAGACTGCCCGGAGGATGCCCCTCGTCCACCACGGGCAGGGCCTGTTGAACTTGGTGGTGTACATGGACTCCATGTCGTCGAACGTGGGCATCCCGTATATCTGGAAGGAGCTGAGGGCATTGAGTATGACGCAGATGCTGACGAGGCCCAGCACGCCCCTGCTCACGTCGTGCCTGTGGAAGGTGTAGAGCGCCGTCAGCATGCCGCTACCGTTTGTTGGGATCAGCTGCCCGTATGCCCAGTAACCACCGACTGCAAGCGGGAACAGGCACATGGCAACGAGCAGGTACGCGAGCTTCACGCCCCTCCACATTGGCACCCTCGACGGCTGCTTTTCACTCGAAGGCATCGTCGCCTAATATATTGCAATACTTTAACTATTAATACCTTTAATAGTTATGGTACTAAATTCAGAAAACCTACTCCGTAATAACTTCCTCTAAATAACACTACATGTGTTTTTAGGAAATAAAATAATTTAAAAGTTATTTAGGGAAATGATTTAAGTTTTAGTGCTATTTAGTGCAAATATTTCATTCAGAAATTCATTATATTTTAGTATTATCATAAACTATTTCCTCCGTACCACTATATTTGTTCACTTTCATTTTTGCACATCATCCAATACACTTCTTTAATCTATTTTATCTTGTAATTTGTATATTAAAAAACTATAGAAATTATATATTAATAATCTATATGTTAAGACAAATCAAACAAGATCAAGAGTCAAAGTGTTTAGATGAACAATTCCAAAAATTAAAAATGGATTGGGAGGGAGGGATTGTTTAACCAAAAGTTGACCAAAGATATTAATTTAAAAGAAAAAGGTGAGTGAGGCCAGGGGTCAAGGTAGGTGGTGGTAGGTTGACTATGTACCTGTATCTCCAGGATGAGATTGTGACCTCTGAAGGCGAAAGCTATGATCCCAACGGCGTTCAGAATTTCAAATATCCTTCCCAACTGCGTGCCGCCCCGTCGTTTGATGGGGTGATAGGAGACGTCGGGGAGGCGGCCCTGTGCGACGGAGACGGCCCATATGAGGGTACAGTAGGCGATGGCGGTGAGTGCTCCGACGAGGGAAACACCGGCGATGGAGTTCAGGTTGGGGAGCTGGGAGAGGAGGAGGGCGGCGCATGTGAACACCAAGTACCACTCCGCATTGGTCAACGGGTTTGAGGAGGAGGCGCACGCGGTGGTGGTCCCGCCGCACAGCGTCTGGTAAAGCATCTTGGCCGTTGAACCCCCGATGATTATGAGGGTTGTACATGTTCCCGCCGAGAGATACCCGATCGGAAATGCCGCCAACAATTTCCCCCATTTCTCTCCTGTTCCACATGCGTATGTATAGATATATATATTCACACTTTAAATTGCTTTTTAAGAATTTCAATATATAAAAAGTCAAACTAAATCAGTAATAGTAACTGACCGAAGGTTGCAGTGGCTAATTGCATGTATCTACTGTAGCGAACTCCGGCATCGACGTTCTCATGGAGTTGAACCATGGCGTAGAGCGTGTAGAGCTGCCATATAAACGCCCCTGCCAAGCACCCCATTCCCCATGCCCTGCACACGCACAACAATTTAATTATCAAATTCAAAACGTCATTATTAATTAATTAGTTAGTAGGTACCAGCCAAGAATGGTGAAGGAAACGGGGAGAATAAGTGCTTGAAATCCAATCCCGGAGCAGAGAGTGTGAAAGGCGGCGTAGAAAGCGTTTCCGTTTCTTGACTGGGTGATGGGAAGCCACGCATCTTGCGGGTCCAGCCTCGTCATTCTCAGTGCCTTCCTCAGCGGGCTGCCCAACGGCGTCGTGAACCTCGATCGCTCCTTCGGGGTTCTGTTCGGCGCGCTTGCCGCCGACGACCCTCCCTGGCCTCCACCACCACTGCAGGGGAGGTCCCCGGTGGCCGTAGTTATCAGCAGGGGGGATCGGGACATGGACGGCGAGTGGTACTGCGACGGTGGACACGACTTTATTGAATCCTCCTGCTCCGCCGCCGCCGCCGGCCTGGGCGTCATCGGAGCAGACCCAACGCCACCGCTACGGCTTCCTGCTGCTGCTGATGAGTCGAGTTCCATCTTCAATTTGTAACTCGATTAGAATTCTTCACTATTAAAATATTCGATTGATGAAGTATGCCGGCCTGATGATCGATTACTCTGTGTGAAACAGGAGGGAGGGAGTGCCTGAATTGCACATCCGCCGTCCGGTTTAGAGAAACAATAATTAAGAACGTTTACTCTCCAAGTCTATTGGTGGGAGTGCATCATATAAGAACGTTTACTTTCCAAGTGGGCTCCATGATTAAATTTTGTTTCTTCCCTATTTTCTTTAAAAACTAAATTTCAGAAAATTTATTATAGAAAAATGTATTTTTTTTCACTTAATTTTTTTTTATATATGTAACCAAGCAAGGGTAGGGGTGGACACGGTACGGTTCCGGTACGGTTCCAGTTCCGGAACCGCCGGTTCCGGTACCGCCACCCCATGTCACCGGAACCGTCACCGTTCCGGCCGGTACCGGTTCCGGTTCCCGGACCGGCGGTTCCGGTACCGGACCGGCCGGTTTCGCCCCCCCCCTATTATTATTTTTTGCTTTTTTTAAAATTTTTAAGTATAAAATTTTAAATTTGCAATTATTTAAGGAAAGAATGAAGTACCGGAATGTAGTTGTTATCTAAAAATGTAGTTGTTATTTAAATATTTTAAATGAATAATACACTAACTGAAGAACAACCGTATTTAATATTCTGATGGTTCAAAAAAAGCGACGAGGTAAAGAACCGTAAAGAAACCCTCGAAGGAGCTTATATATCGCTCAGCTAAAAAAAAACTAATTACCTATTTACATTAACAAAAAAAAATTATAACTTATTCTTCAGAACTCGGACTTCCATCTGTTGTTGCATTCATGTAATGCTCCAATTCGAATTGATACGTTGACTCTTGAGCTCGACGTCTTGCCAAGAGCATTTCTTGGTTGCAAACAAGTGTTTCAATAGAATATATTTAAAATATATATTATATATTTTTTGATATTAAAGAAATATTAAATTTCGAAAATTTCAAATAATTTCGAAATTTTTTATATTAAAATATAATATATTTAAAAAAATGTATAAAAGAGATCATAAGATATTAAGATTGAGAAATTAAAATGATAGATTGAGATATTGAAATTTGAGNGATGAATAGAAAGTGTGTGAATGACGTGATGACCATCACCTCCATTGCTCCTAAGGGAGGCAGGCAGTGTTTCCTCCCATCACGGACCAATGTGGCAGCCAAATCAACCAACACGGCTAATTCCCCCCCCCCCCCCAAACTCAACGCATAGCCTAAGATTGTGTTCCATTCATCTGATTTTATGAAGATTTGATTTGATACGGAGTATAATCTTATTAGATGTGAGGCATCTGATTGAATTTGAGTTGGTTTGAATGGATTGGATTTGATCTGATTGTAATTTTTTTAAAAAGTTTTTATGATTTGATTTAATTAAATTCAATCTGATTTTAATAAGAATAAATAATACATTAAAAAATAAGTTTAACTAAACAAGCCCTAAGTTCAGAGTTTGCTTAAGCTCTAAATGGAGAACTACCTCCTACTTTTCTCCTCCATTAGATTTTGCGGAACGAATACACAATTTCTTTGCTACTCTTCTTCATCTCTTACATAAAAAGAATTACTCTCCCATCCATAATTATCTTTTTTTTATTGAAGTAAAACTTTATAAGAATATACTCCGTATTTGATAAAATTTGAGTAATAAATTTCAAAAATATCTTTTTTTATTATTGAATTTTACATTTTTTTCACTATCTAACAATTAATTTTATATTTTTTCACTTTCTTTTTTCAAAGAATAAATATGTTGAAAAACATTTAAGTATGCACTTGGATTTGCATAAAATATAAAAATAGTGCTGCCTCCCGTGGATTTAATTTTGTTATTTGACTTTTTCAGGATCAAATTTTATAAAATTTGACCTCGATAATTAAAAAAAGTATATTATGTTTTGATATAAAAGTAATATGAATAGTTTTATTTTGAAATGTAGGTTTCAAATATTAAAATCTAGACGTGAGATATTGGAAACATGAGAAGTTAAATGAGAAAATTAAATCTAGATGAAGAAAATATTATTTCGTAGTTTGATAAATTTGTTATTTGGTATTTTAATATCTTTTGATAGACTTATTAACATAGATATTAATATTATTTGGAGCTTAATTGTGTGTTTATCATGAAACAAGTGATTTTGGATTGATTTGTGATTACTGACTGATTTTAATGTCCATGTACAAGTGAGAGGGCCCCATTGCAAGCAAATTTGATATTCTGGGGTTAATTTATAATTTTCAAATGTCATTTCTCCCCAATTCAATTTTTGAATGAAAAGGCGGCACATAGGAGTTTTCTACGAAGCGGGAATAAGGCGACCCGACCCGGGGGTGGCTCTTTCTGTGTAGCAGCGTTGGCGAAGACCCGCGCCCCTTCGATTGTGCCGGAAAAATCCAGTGGGCGAAGACCAGCGTGTCTTCAATTTAATATTAGTGTTTAGTTATACGTTGCACTTGATTCCCAACCAATCACATTATTTTTGTTAATTCGACAACCCTTACTTCCACCACCATACTCATTCCTTACTTTTTCCACATCCCGTTTCACTTGCATCTCTTTTTTGATCGGGAGTTTTCGGCTTCAAACGATGCACCAGAGTTCTTCCATGGGCGGATCTATGTTTAAAGGAATGGGGGCACTTGCTCCCAGTGAGTTTGAGAAAAAAATTATTAGTATATTGAGTATCCTTATTTTTTTTAAAAGAAATAAAAGTTACACCCCCCATCAAAAAGTTGGTTGCCCCCATCCCTTCATGGCCACTTCCGTAAAAGCCAAAAAAACTTTGTTCAAAAAACAAAAAAAAGTTGATTGTTTATTTCATACGTTGCATTGCTATTATATTACCGTGTAATATATTATTTTGCTTTATTTCTCAAATAAAATCTTGCTCTATCTATTGGGACACCAAATTGTACCCTACTTACACCACAATTTTTTTTCATTATCATTTTTTATCTACGCCAAGAAATTCAGTATTTCATCTCACACAAAAATTTCTTTGTAAAAAAAAGTACACTTTAAAAATATCTTATTTTCTAAGTCGATCTGCTATTATTTTATAATATGGTAGGATATGTATAGAGTATGTAGAGGGAGTAGATTATACTGATTTCGAGACGGTAAGATTATATATTTGGCTTTTGTGAGAATAATAGAATTGCAAAATTGTTCAAAAAATAAGATGTGATGTTTTGGATAAAAATTAGCTTGTAAATAATATTAAAATCATACATTTTTAAAATCTGTCTCTTTCAAACAAGAAATGTTTTTGTGGGATGAAAGGAGAGTAAGTTGTTTTTTTCAAGTTCGCCCCCAGTGGTTTGGATTTCTAGATCCGCCACTGAGTTCTCCTGCATTATAGTTCTTTTAATGTAAGAGAGAAAGAGGAGTGGCGAGTCGTGTGTTAGATCTATAAAATCGCATGGAGGAGAAAAGTAGGAGATAGCCTTCCATTTAGAGCTTGTGCGAACTCAAGACTTAGAGTCCGTTCAATTTAATTTTTTTTCAGTTTATTACGTATTCTTGATAAAATCAGATCAGATCCAAATAGATCAAGACAGAACAAATTAGAAATAACTTTAAATATAACTACAATTGGATCAGATTCAATACGACCAGACTAACTTAGACTCAATCAGATCTGATAAGATCATATCAGACCAGATCTTTATAAAATCATACTAATCCAATCAGGTTAGACACACAGAACACAAAAACGACATTGTTCTTTTTGAGATATGTACGGTACTTTGTTCATTAATTTGATAGTTCTTACCTCTAACCTTGGTGATACTCCCCCCCTTCTCGGCCCGAGCTAAACTCACATCCTAACCCCTTCAATTTCGTTCCCAAATTTTGTTGACTTTGACGCTCTCTTTTTGTGAGTACTTGCGTAGGACCAGATATAGTTGGCTCGAAGAATTATTTGAGTATTATCCATAAGTGATAAAATCCAAACACTACTTCTACATACTACTCCGGAACATGTAGAGAGAGCATTATTTAAGGCATGGCAGCAAAACAAATACACACACATACACATATATAAAGCATATAGAGTCCACGTGCACATAAGTGGTCTGCGTGATCAACTTTTATAAGACACGCAGTGGATGCCTAGGCATAACACCTCTTCTCCGCCGCCGCCGCCGCCTCTCAACTTTAATTTCACATTATCAATTAACACCCACTCCATCTATCTACACCTCTGCCTGCACGTACCAGTGTGGGGAAGTATAGGTCTTGAAAAAGAACGTACGAAGAAGAAGAAGGTGGTAGCTCTAGTTAATAATATATACTGAGGATGACGACGAGTTGGTGGCGGCGGCGGTGGGAGGGTGGCGTGGTGGGGAGGTTGGGCCACCTCCTGGTCACGGTGTTCCTGTCGGAGTTTGCGTCGTTCACGGTCACGCCGGTGATGCCAGATGTCACCATGGACGCCATCTGCCCCTCCCAAGACCACTGTTCTCTCGCTATCTTCTTATCCGGCTTCCAACAGGCTGTATGTCCTTTATTATTATGCTTTATTTCACTATTTTGTTTCCTACTATACGCGCAACCCCGTTGGTTTAGTCGTTAAGGTTTTATATACATACATACATATATATATATATATATATATATATATATACAATCTGGCCTGGCGGGCGACGGCTGCAGGTGACGGGAGTGGGGTTGGTGGTGATGATGCCGGTGATAGGGAGGTGGTCGGATGTGTACGGCAGGAAAGCACTAATGACGGTTCCCATGACGGCGTGCATCGTACCGGTGGCCATACTGGCGGTGGGGAGGACGGAGAAGTTTTACTATGCCTACTTCGTCTGCCGCACCCTGTCGGGGATTGTGTGTGATGGGGCAATTCAATGCCTGGCTCTGGCTTATGTGGCGGACAGGACAACGGATGGGCAGAGGGCTTCCGCTATTGGCATACTGGCTGCCATTGGTTCTGCTGCTTTCGTCTGTGGAACATTAGCTGCTCGCTTCTTCTCTACTCCCCACATCTTTATGGTCCATTCTTCTTCTTCCTCTTTTAATTTTACCCCCAGCCGCGCCTTAAATTATCAGCTCTTAATTTACAGTGAGCATTCGATTGTGACTGTGTGTGTATTTTATTGTTTTCAGTTTGCCACAGTTGTATCAATGGTGGCCGCCGTGTACATGAGAATATTCCTTTCAGACACAACACCTTGCTGCTGCTGCTGTCATATGATTCAAAGTGATGCCACTGCGAACCGTCTTGGGAAGACGTCAGAACCTGAAAAAGCCACAGAAAATGGTGGTGCTCCACTGTTGCTGGACTATCATCATCATCACACACAGCAGAAAAATCAAGGTGCACCTAATAACACAACGATCTTCAACAAGAAACCTCCGTCCCCAGTCGACATTTTTCGCTTTCTCAAGAACAGCGGGCACTGTGTGTGCCTGCGTCTATATATCACCACTTGGAATACTGCACTATTAGTTAGGGTAATCATATATGATTTTGGTTGGTTGGTTGCAGTTTAATGTTTTCACTAGCAGCATCCATCGCCTTCTTAAATAGTGTGGCAGAAGGAGGAGAGCAAGCTCCCTTCCAGGTTAAATTATAGGGTCAAACTACGGTGCCACCACATGGGTGCTACCATGAGTGCACCCATGCTTCACACAGACAAACACAAACATTAATCACAATTATCGTCTGCGTTTGTCCATGCGAAACATGGGTGCATCTATGGTAGCACCTATGTGGTGGCACCCTAGCATTATTCTAAATTATGTGCCTTATTACGGATTACCTACCTATTTTATGGTTGATTTTGCATATTCAAGTACCTTGCTATAATTTAATTTATGCAGTACTACCTAAAAGCCCGATTTCACTTCAAGAAAAACAACTTTGCTGATATAATGCTAATTAACAACCTGGGATCAACCCTCTCACAGGTATGTGAGTATATACCATTACCATGTATCAGTTTATCACTTAATTTGGGCAAATGTCTCAAGGCTAGCTAGGCTGCTGTATTCATAGTAAATTACTACTCTGTCTGCTGATGGATAAAAACAAATGGGGAGGGTGTGGGTGTTCTAACTACTATCCACTTTTAAAAATGAAGCTATTGCTGTTTCCAATGTTGGCACCTTTAGTTGGAGAGGAGGTTTTGCTTTGCATTGGACTCTGTGCCGGATTCTGTAACGTATGTGTTGTGTTTATGCCGACTACTGTGATGTTATTTATGTGCACCCAACAATATATATTTTGGGTGCGCACATAACATTGCTCCAAATACAAAATGCCAACTTTATTATGGGGAGTAACTTTGTTTCTCTTGTCGAAACTCCATCTGCAGATGTTTGTGAACAGCATAGCATGGTCAATTTGGGCAAGCACGCAAACGATGATCTTCTTTCTTCTTAGTTTAGTTAGTTAGTTGTCTTTGTTAATGATTGAATAGTTGAATAACTAATGCAGGTTCCATACGTTGCTTCTCTGTTCCCAATCTTGATTTCCTTGGTAAAACCAGGGGTGAGTTGAATCAGTTCCTATATAAGACATTACAAATTTTTTGAATTCTAATAAGCTGATATCACCATAATCATGCAGCTACAAACCATTGTTTCTAAACAAGTTGGAAGGAATGAGCAGGTAGGTAAAATCATTCATCAATCCCTACGTACGCACGCTCTGTTCTGTTTGTAGGAATTATTAGTGTATTGTTTTTACATCATGATGAAAAGCCAAGAATGTATTTGTAGGGAACTGCCCAAGGGTGCATTTCGGGCTTAAGTTCATTTGGTAACATCATATCTCCCCTCATATTCAGCCCCTTGACCGGTAAATACTAGTACGGAGTACTTGCGAATCCATTGTTGATGTTTTTTTACTTACGGAGTATTAGTTAAAATAAATATGATTTATTGTGCTTCGAATTAATAAAGTGAAAAATGATGATCCTTATCGATCATCTTTTCCAGCTCTGTTCCTATCAGATGCGGCTCCTTTCCCGTATCAAGGCTTCAGCATCTTGTGTGTCGGCATTGCTTGGGTGAGTAACTCATTCTTCCTTACTATCATTCAAAACCCCATGCAAAGTACAACACAACATAATCAAGCTTCTAAATATGTGTTTTTTTAATATATAATTAATTTGCAGCTGATAGCTTTCGTTCCGGGTGCAATGATGATAAAGCTAGCTCCTCTTACTCCTCATCCACCCATCATCCCCGTCGTCCCATCCTCTGATCTATCCGTTGTTCTATAGTGTTCCTTCATTCATGTTATTAATCAATGAAGCTATATATTGTAAATTAAGGAGTTCCCGGAAAATGCTCTACTTTAACCATCACTATAGTCACACACACATTGTGTATGTTGTGTGTGGCACATTGTGGTGTCAAATTTAGCACCTAGGATAATTTATTACTACCATTTTGAGATTCCCATAGAACAATGATATAAAGATGTCACATTCTCAACAACAACAGCATCAGAAAAGAAAGAAGATTAGATTAACATAATAGTAATGAATATAAGAAGACAAACAAGGTGGAGCAGCTAGCTAGCACGGATCGAACGAACCTCCATAGTCAGTCAGTCATAGCAGATATGAGGAATCCGACCGCAAGCTCTCTTGATGAGGTCCATGTACTTGACCAAGTTCTGGCAGCGGGTGATGTCCAGGTATTGGACCTTCTTCATGCACAGTATGTTCAACAGGTCTGCGTCCCCGACCGTCGAACCCGAGAGATTTATCAGCCTCAAGTTCAGCAGATAGACGAGCTGGGATGAGAAATGGCGATGGACTCCCCCGTTTCTTCTGATCCCCTTTATGTTAGGGCAGCATCTTCCCACTTCCTGCAGAATTGCAGGCGTGAAGTATGGCGAATCCGAGAAGTCAATAATCTCTAACTTCCCACACCTCCCTATCACCTCCAGCATCGCTCCTTCGCTCCCATTGTAGGATCCTACTAGGGAGTACTAAAACTTGGAATTGATCCCACAATTATTCTGTAAATTGTTTCTGAAATTTCTAGGGTTTAGACTTACCGGAGGGCGATGAGATTCAGAACGGCGTCGTCGTTTTGAGGGCCGTCCCGGGAAGTGAGGAAGGGGGAGAGGAAGAGGGAGGAGATGGCATCTCCGCCGCAGGCTCTCTCGAGGAGCATTTGAAGGCGGTGGACGCCGCAGGTGCGTCTGCCGCGGAAGGGATCGGGAAAGACAGAGCGGTAGGGGAAGGAGGCTTTGACGAATGCGTCGTCGGCGGAGAAGGGGTTGGCGTCGGCGATCATGGAGGTCCAGCAATGGGGATCGCGAGAGGCGTGGGCCCATGATTTGCAGACGAATTGAAGGTTGAGGAGGCGATCTTCAATGGAGGACTTGCGGAAGATGATGGAGAGAGCGAGAGTGGGAAGATGATCCCACGTTAGTGTTGTGCGTTTCCACTCCATTGTAGCGTTCGTTGTCTGAGAATGGCAGAGTGAGGACTCACATTGGACTCACAGTAGAGCAGTACTTATTCTTGCACAAATATAATTAGCGGTACTCATTCTAAAATAATGCAATACTCATTTTCAAACATTGATTCAATATAATTATAATATTCATCTACAAGTAATGTAGTGTTCATTCTGAATCAAAAAGTACACATTCTCAAATAATCTAGTATTCATTCTCATGTAAAATAAAATTCATATCATAAATAATTTCTTGGTTGTATCCAAAATTGGGGTGCCGTGTAAACTTCGAAATATTACGGAGTATGTTTTGGAATGGATAGGATAAAAACATAAAGAATGGCTCATTTCATCCCAAATTAAAGTGGTTTCTTTAACATTTAGAAAGATTAAGAAATAAAAAGTTCATTTTTGAAAATAAAAAAAGTAAAAATTATATCTTAGACCTACCTTGGAGTCTTGGACACTTCAAAATTTTAAGGATAATAAGAATTAGAGGACAAATGTAATTTTAGGGTTAATAAGAATTAGAGGACAAATGTTTTCTACTCACAATCTTTGAATGGCATTGTGTTTTGTATTGTGTTCCATTTGTTGTATCTAATTTAAGAGTTTAACTCCCTACTCTAGTTATGGTAAAAAATACTTATCAAATGTTTGATACATTGAATTCGATATCAAAATTTTATAAAATTAAATTGAATGAAATTGTATTCTCAAAATTTAATTTATTTTGTGCAATCAAACAACAAAATAAAAATTATTATTCTCAATTTCAATTTCATAGTCTGAACAAACAAAGCTTTATATTGGCTATGTTTGAAAAATAATTTTTGGATATCTTTTGTCATATTTGACTGACTTTGGCTTTTTTAACAAACAAACAGGCAAAATTATTGTTTGTCTAATGACTTTTTCAGTTGGCATTTTGATCAGAAAAACCAAAATTAAAAAAGCTAAAGGAAGTAGCTTTTGGATTTGACTGTTAGGAAAATTATTATTTTTAGTCATTTTTCTTGAAAAATATTCTATAATATATGTAAAAAAATAAAAAAGTTATAAAATTCAAATCTAAAAAACTTAAATTTAAGAATTTTTAAAAAAATGAGATAAGAATCAAAAATAAAAATCATTAAAAAGTTGTGACTCTTTTGGCATGCATTTTTTTGTACACTTGGTTCTGGTTGAGTCTCCGGAGACTATGAGTCTTCGAGATTCAACGAAGTTTGTGTATCGAACAAGGATAGATTACTTCCCTACGTTTGGTAAATCCACGTTTCTTGTTCGTTTAGCTCAAGACTGGGCGAAAAACGTTATAACTGAAGGGATTCATGTTAAAAATAAAAAAATATTTAAATAATTATTTTTTAGAAAGAAGAGAGAAATTTATGCCTGTGGTGTATTCAATTTTTTTACAAAAACAATGAATTTATAGAGGAGGAAAAGATTTTTTTAAAGTATAATGGTATTATAGCCGTTGGGGAGGGGGCGAATGGCTCAAAACTTTAATCAGCATCAAACGTTTGACGCTTGATAAATAGAGCAATGCTAGGGGTACACCAAAGGTGTACCCCATTTGTCTCCACCCCTTTCTCCACCACTAATTTTAACCCCATTTTTATTTATTTAATTTTGTTTTAGTTTTTTACCATTTTTGTGGTAATGGAGGGGTGAGGGACAAATGGGGTACACCAAAGGTGTACCCCTAGCATTTTTCTGATAAATAACCCCGACTTAACAAGAGTGGTGGGGTTTAATGCCCGTGTTAAAAAAAGAAGTAACACATGGAGCATTATGAGTATTTTCACTAGAAATCACTCTAAATAAGATTAAAACATAGAAAGAGTACCAAAAATAAAAGTTTCCTTTATTCTCAAAATAAGACTTCGCACTATGGTAATGTGGCAGTGTACATGTCTACATTACTATACTTTTTGGTAATGTACATGATCTTGTTTGGTAATGTTACTTTTTTTAACTCATATTTTGAGAATAAAATGTAGAAGTCAAATTTTAACACCGCTCTACTGCATTTTAGATATGAGTTTGAGGGCGTTTCCTTCGGTGCACCTAGTGAAGAGTGTGTTTTGAAACACTCCACACTTGTTCCAGTCATAATTGGACATGTGGCTTTTTTGCCATGTCATTTAAATGGAGTCAAAATAGATCTAAATTTGCTATCTAGTCCTAGGGATTTCTTTGCAAATAAAAAAACTTGTCTCATCCTTATCTTCCGTCAATCCCATCTCCTCTACGCCGTTTCTCTTTTCATCATCGTCAACTACCCTCTCTCCCTCAATCGACGGGCGGAGGAATTTCAATCGCAGGCGACGGAATTTCCAAGGCTCATCTCCGGTAGGTTTTCAAAGCTTCTCTTCTTCTACAAGATTGGGTTTCATCTTCTAAGGTTCTCACTATATCTATTTTCTTAAATTTTCAGTATTTAATTGTTATTTAA